CTGACGGTTAATCAATACGTATGTGATTAATGTTAACGTATGGGATGTTGGAACTGATATTGGGCTCGATTTTCCTCCAGTATTTTTTAAATAATAAATAAAATCCATTGCAAACGTAAATGTCAGTTCTTATGCCGTTGAAGGTCAGACTGATGCTGCAGCAGCGGTGGACCTACTTCAGGAGCAAGTGGAACCTTCTGGAATTGTCAATCATCATACTGACTTGGAGCGCTGTGGCTGTTTTCATCAAGAGAACTCTGCTGGGAAACCGGGATATGACCTACTATCAGAACCACAGAGACCAGTGAGACCAGGCTTTATTGTGCTTTTAGTGAACCTGCCTTTTGACGCTGGTCAGGGATTTGAACATTTCTTCTCTAGTGATTACAAATTTAAAATTCCAATTTTAGTTAATAAAAATAAAATTAATATAAATAACTAAAAACCAGTGAATTTGTTCCAGCCCCCCAGAAATATACTATAAATTTTCCCTCCATCTAAACATCGCAAAACATAGATAATAACAAATATAGTGATTTTATATATATATATACTTTTTTTTTTAAATACTAAAAGTTTGTGTCGAACTCCTCGGTTGAGCACTCGTATCTAGATATTTCCTCGTATCAGGAGCAAAATCTTGCAATAGTTGTAATGAATACACAATACACCCCCCTAGTGGTCAAAGCTATTCCTTTGCTTATGCTGTACTTCACACCTTCTCTCACGCTCTCTCCAGATTTGCCAGTTTTTCCGAGACGGCCTCTGCAGATTCACAGCTCCAGTATCTGATTGCATTCTTGGTTCTTCTCGCCACAATCAAACTGTGGCATTTGCTCGGAATCAACCCCAAAATGAACATGCTCACGGCCACGCTGCAGCGAGCCTGGGAGGATCTCTCTGGTCTGATTCTGATCATTATGATAATGTTCATAGCCTACTCCGCTGTGGTGAGAATTTTATTCATTTCGCATTGATTATAGTCTTTGTGTTATCACAGAGAGTGGGAACATGGAGGTCACGCTGTTCTGGTTGACAAACCAAGCCAAACCTTTATGAATCACAGAGAGTGGGAACATGGAGGTCACGCCGTTCTGGTTGACAAACCAAGCCAAATAACAGGATTCCTGACTATGAATGTTGCTGCATTTACTGGGAGTTTTCGTGATTTTTCTCCTAATTTCATCACCCCATGTCGATGATGCATTGGGTTTGACACCTGTCTAGATGTATTGCTGATGTTGTTGTCACGGCAACAATGTGGTCGACCCAAAGAAGCAGAGAAAACTCGGACAACTTTAGATTTAGTCAATAATAATAATTGAGTCCCTTATTTGTCCCACAATGGGGGAAATTTACAGTGTTGGTCTTTCCAACTGACACAGGAGGCGCTATTAGGTGCATGGTGGCAACTCACAGGCACCATTAGAATTTGTGGTTTCTCTGGGAATTGAACCCAGAACACTGGTTATGCTAACAGTCCATCCATTACAAATACATTAAGCCATGTTTCGTGTACAGACTGCTGACAGCTGTTAGGGATGAGGTTGTTGAGTTTGTTCAGTTCAAGTTTATTAATAACACCCTCCCCACTTATTATCTCCTCCTCTACATTGGCTTCAAAAAAGAAATTGCTGCGAAAAAAACGGAGCGGGGGTTAAATAAGTGCTAATCGCTTCTCCTTCTGAGCAGTTATTTATTTAATAGAACTGAAGTCTTGATGGACCAGAAGTCTTTGTTCTCTGGTTCTGAAGCTGCTTGTTTTTCAGTTCAACGTGATGTACGGCTGGCAGCTGTTCTCCTACAGGACTCTCAGCGATGCTCTCCTCACCGTCATCAGTTTACAGATCGGTATCTTTAACTACGATGAGGTGAGTGTCAGCCCAATTATATCATTCATGAAAAACCCAGTACCCAATAATTATAATATTTTATAATTTATTCATCCACATTAGGCTGTCAGTTTGATGTTTTTTACACTGTGGCTGTTTTTTTTCTCTGTCAGGTTTTTGAATACAACCCTGTAATTGGTGGATTGCTCATTGGCTCCTGCATCATGTTCATGACATTTGTAGTGCTCAATTTCCTCATTACAGGCATCCTGGTGGCATTCCAACAAGAGCAGATTGAACATGAGGTAAAATTTCCAAAGCAGCTTATTATATGAAGTTTTCTTCATTAAAATGCACATTCTTTGTTTTTTAATTTAATTGTTAATGATCATTTCCTGTCTCCAAGGCATCAGAAGAGAGGGAGATTATCGACCTCCTTCAAAAAAAAATCTGTGGTCTCTTTGGGATTAGGAGCGATGAAGCAAACAAAAGTGAAAGCCGTGAAACGACCCTGGATAATGAAGAGCGGGTCCTCGACGCTTCTGAGAAGAAACCCTGTTTCACTGAGCTGACAACCGACAACTGAAGCTTTAATGTGTGGGTGTTTATCACTTACAGTTAAAAACATCTTTTAGCATCTTTGTAAATGTGCTGTCGGAGATCATGAAGCGAGATGGTGATGAAAGTATATTTGTATATGTACAGTTATTCCATGTGAGAAAGATGCTAACTTTCATCCTCACTGTTTTTTTTTTTTGCATTTAATTTCCTTAAAATATGTGATATTAGATTAGGTCGGAAAGTTCTAAGACAGCTGTCATCGTTGTTAAAGTCGGAATCGTTATTGGTTTCTCCTCCGATAATGAAACACCAATAACGCAATGCCTGAGTTTCACCAAATGGTGTGCACAGAAAAAGGAAAAAACGGCTGCATATTAAAACGAAAGTCACTAGATGGCAGCATTGCAGCTCATTTAATCAATTTATACTCATACAGTGGTTTCTACAGATAAATAAATAAATATTACCAGGCCTATATCGGTATAGGTTGATATCAGAAAATTAAGTGTTTGGACAATTAAGTTAATATCGGACATCCCTATGTTGAAGTCATTGACGGTTTGCGACAGGTTTTTGATCTAGCGCAGTGTGATTTTTTTTTTTCCTTTCCCCAAAACTGAACACATTTAAAGGAAGTGGAGTTCAGTCCTAAGACCAGACGTAGAAACAGATTGTGACCTGGTGTCAAAGGTCATCCTCCGGAATTCTACAGAGAAATAATTCTCTAACGGAGACAACACTGAAGTAGAGTTGAGACTTTTCGATGTAGAGAAAAGGTTTTGGGTTTTTATGTAACCTTTTGACCTTGAACTTTACATACGTAGCTTTCACTGTGCGCTCACTAAAAAAAGAAGCTCCATAATAACTGTACTAGTCATACAGGAGCGCGTCTGTTTTCTTGGAATCATCAGCTCATGTGTTTAGTACATGTACTGCACCTGCAGGTGTTAAAGCTGATTTTCAGTCTTTTCACAAAACAAAATGTACTCAGGGGTCGTGACCTGGTGAACACACTCACATATATGGAAGGAAAAGTGGTTCCATATATGTTAGTGTGCCACCAAACATAACATAACAACTCATCCATGTAACTGGTTATGTGGTTTTTACAGTGTAGAAATATACAGGGGTTGAAGCACAGAGCAGTGAAAAACATCAGTGAACAAACGTGGAAAATGGTTCTTGGTCCTCTTTTCTGTAGTTCCATGTAACTCCACAGGTGTTTTGTTCATTTGTCTATGATGAAAGAAAATCTCTTATGACCGGTTTATCACAAGGCCTCTTAATTAACATTCCCCAGCTGTGTGTGTGTGTGTGTGTGTGTGTGTGTGTGTGTGTGTGTGTGTGTAGGGGGGCGGGGACGTTTGAATCCAATGCAGGGGAATGAAACCTAAGCCCTGACCTTTTTGTTGTAAGGCAAGAGTGCTAATCAGCAATTCACCGTGGCCTTTATTTGAAAAACAAAAAGAAAAATAATATATTTCGAGCCTCAGGTTGGTGGTGCAAACGCCTGCATTTATTCTGTGGTTTTCTTATTTAATCCCACTCATGGGAATGTTCTGGATGAAAATATTATTAAACAGTGTCAGTTAGAGCTACTGTCTTTGACTTGGTAGCACATTCATTCATATTCATTATGTGTATCATAAACAGCCCACGTAAGTGGCACCTTTGAGAATCATGCTGTTCGGAATGTTTCTTTGTCTGCAATTTATGGATTTGATTTGTCTGAAGATTTCATGGATGATGAGTTTGTCAGGAAAATCACACAAGATTACTGCTGCGACCTTGTCCCTGGGCCGTGTTCGCTGTCCACTCATTCGTGTCTTTACACACATGCATTAGGAGCCAGCTTCTAATTGGCTAAAATTACAGGCATTGCGATTAAAAAAAAAAAAAAAAGAAGATAATGGTACAAAAAACTGCAGGCATTGCGATTAAAAAAAAAAAAAAGAAGAAGATAATGGTACAGCAAAATGGTGTAACATCTGTAACGAGTTGTCAGACTAATAGGATGCACTCTTCTCTGAAACACTGCTTTTGTACAGTCAAGGCCACTTTACCTTACCTTAAATATCTGCTGTTTGTTCACCAATCTCCTTTAGAAATTTCTTTTACAATATTTTCCCTATTCAAGGGTTTCAAAAATCGGCCCAATAGAGGGTTCAATCCGGCCCACTTAACGAATTTTGAAAGTCAAAAAAATGCTTCAAGTTCGTGCTGTTTTAATTATATTTCATGTACTTATTTGCAAGAAAACAAAGGGGATAAACATGGACTTGTTATTCTTTGTGGGTATTTATATTATTATTATTATTATTCTTTGTGTGTATTTATGCTACGGTTGTACTGGTCTGGCCCATTTGACATCTAATCAGGCTGCATGTTGACCCTGAACCAAAATGAGTTTGACACTGCTGGTCTATTTAGTCTTTTTAATTTGTTTGTTTACCTCGATGCATTAGCACAAATGTCCAACGAGACAGGCATATTAACCAAACACCAGATAAGGCTGAGAAATTTAAATTAAAAGTAATTATTAAACTCTTTGTATCTGGTGTTTTGTTTCGTCACATGGTCTGCGGATGGTGCTAAAGATTCCAAGGACCTCTTACGGCTCGGCAATGACTGGAAATTGTTAAGAGGAAAAGATAAGAACTCAGATTTGGCGTCCTGCTTGCTCATGCTGATCTAATGTTCTGGACAAAATGTGCAGCAGAATCTGGTGATCTCTCATTATGTAGCTCTGAGAATACAGATGACGATTGGCACCGTGTCGTTGGATTGGCTGGAGGCTGGTACAAATTGAGTTGATGGATGTTGTCTCACATGTTAAGAATTTAATTTATACATTGGAAGTTGGAGTGCATTTGACATTTGAATATCTTTAAATGATGTTCCTCTGGAGGAGAATGTGGCCCTGTGTAATGCAGTAAGCTGCAGTTTCAGTTTTTATTGCCCTACTCCAGGGGTTTCCACACTTATTTTCCTGGAGACGAACGAATAATAATTCTTTAAAAATTACGTAGAAAAATATATATCCACCACCAATCGGGTGTTTTTTTAATTTTTCTGACAGGATTGTTTGTCCGAGCCAGGATCAAGGTCATGAACACAACATCACGTCATTCCCAGATATGATTGGATGAGTGAAAATCATGGCGAATACTGCGGTTTAAAAAGGAAATTACTGTTTTATTTTATTTTATCCACATTACAAGTAAACCGTGTCTTTTTGTTTGACGAGGCGCTGGCGGGAATTAAGGAATTACTGGTTAGAATCCAGAACCTGGAGGAGGCCAGAAAACAGACCCGGAGTGACTGGTAAAGTTACACCGCCTCGTCGGAGGAGTTTGAATGCAGAACAGCGTTAAACCAAAACCGGGACGATGGAGACAACTCCATTTTGGAAAACTTGTGGTAAGTGAACAAACAGCAAAGAAGCGAAATTAGTATACAGAGTAAAATGTTTTAAATGCTCGCGTCACTACTGTCACATGTTTAATAACAGCCAATCAACGCAAGCGTAAGTTTGTGACGCACACAATAAATATTGGCGGCCATTTTAACTAGTCTTGTACACATGTAAACTGAGCATACTTTACATACACAATAAATTGTGGGGTACAGGTAGAATTCATTTAGCTTTATGGCACAATGTGATTTTATTCTTACAATATACGGTCACTTCTACACACTATGGAGTTAAATTAAAGTATTTGTGTATTAATTGCTCACTTATCACCAGCAGTCCCTTTGGGATGTACCTGTAAATTTGTTCTGAGCCACGACTGCAGGCAAAGTGGGATTGTACGATGATTTGTTAAAAAGTGATCATACTCTGATAAATTTAGGATGCTGATACAATTAAATAATTTGATATCTGCCAACTCTTCGAACGAGGGTCCCCAAAACTTTGTTGCAGAATCAGGCTTCTCCACACACTATTTTTCTGATGATGTCTGCATGCATTAATAAAAACTAAACTTTGGCAGTTCCAAAAGTTACCTTTAACGATGACCAAGTTGAGCCTCCCCCGTGCAGTGACCATCAAAGTTATTGGGAAGTAAATTTGCTTCGTTTATTTCATGTTTTGTAAGAAAATAGTTCTCAACACCTCCTTTCTGCTTCACCTCCCAGGAAAATGCACAGAAACTTTTTATAATGTGATACTAAATGTGATTGAAAAATCTGCCAAAGTTGAGTCATAAACAGATCAGTTGTCATTAAATCTGTGTTTTAGAGCGAGGCGGTCAGCACTGATGAGCCGTGGACCGTCGGAGGAGTCCATTAGCCTGAAGTGATCTGTGTGAACGTAGGATCCCAATCGATTTACCCAGATCTCACTGCATTAACATATCTTTCAAAAGCATAACAATTAATCACAGGCTGACTTAAGGTAGCATGTTTCTAGATAGCGGTTGTTGCAGCAGTTCTCTTCTGAAGGATCTGGTTATTGACTTTTTACAACGTGGAGGCGAGCATTAGTAGCTGAACTAATTTAAGAAAATTCTCTTTCATAATCAAAGTGATGGCATTAGCAGACAACCTTTCATATAACACGTTTTTGACATTTTAAGTGAGAGAGATGTAATGGAGAGTTTCTGCCATCAACACCTCTAATTTTTGTTTGCGTGGCTTTACTGGTTGTCATCACTGCCACACTTTGATTGTATTGTTTCAGACACACAATTTCTTATCCAGCCATTAAAAGTAAAAGCACAGTTTTCTTTGGTTTTTGTCAGGTTTAGTCAACTCTCCTATCAACAATTCTTTATATAAAACACAAAAGAAATCTTAACAAATTTGCATACTTTTAGAGTGTTACATAAATGTCTTAGCAGAGCTCAGGGATGAAACTCAATGATGTAAGAAAAACATCTGGGACATAAGCCGTGAAGAGAGATCGCAAGATTAAATGAGTAAAAACTTAGTGGACAGATACATCAGCAACAGATTATTTGAGCTTTAAGTCCACCTTTACTCATCTATTTGGAACCTTAGGTGATATTTCATTTGAGCTTTAAGTCCACCTTTACTCACCTATTTGGAACCTTAGGTGATATTTCTCTTCTATATTTGCTCTTCTATAATGTCAAAGGTGTTAATGAATTATAACTTAAAAAAAATATGACCCCTTAGCTGATTGGGCAGTGGCTCAAACAAATCTCCAGAGAGGGAAAATTGGAAATACATAGCATTTATTAGCAGATATCAAAAAGAGGATGCAAGGATACAAGCAGAAGACGCAAGCATTACAGGAAAAAAACATTAAAAACATTAGCCACAGTTGGAGTAGCATACAAACATCAAATTAGCAGAAATCAATTCCTTTCAGCTCTAGCAGCGCAGCCAAATGAACAAAAATAATTCAGTTGTTTGCACAAACACTTTACTACACACAAATGCACACATTACAGAAAAACAACAACGAAAAGAAGCCAAACTTAGCCCTTCACACGGAGCCAAGCAGCTGATTGTCATTTATGAGATAGTCACATTTTTCACCGCTGCTTTAGTTTCACATGTGATGTTGTCTTACAAAAAAAAGAAAACGTCTTCAACAAGCTCATTTTGCATTTCTGTAAACAGTAAACACTGCATCATAACGTTAAAAACGGTCACTGCATCAGCACAATTTTAGGAACTGCAAGTAGCACGTGTCTTTACCATGAACAAGCAAACACATTAGCTCAACATATTGACGTTAACCTTCCCAGGAAATTCAAATAACGTTTTTCTCAAGGTTTAACTAGGAGTGCAAGAAAATATCGATACACTGAAATATCACTTCAAGATACCGTATCGATGTTCTACAATTCTCAGTCCAATATTCCTGGTGTTGGTTCATGTTCTTGTTCTTTTCTTTCTTCTCTAGTGATTCCAAATGTAGATCCCTCTGTTCCAGTGTCAATAACCTGATGTTAAACCTGTGTTAAAAAAAAGTCAACAATTTTCTCACGCCTATAGCATCATAAGAAATTGCAATATATCGTAGTGTTGCTCTGTTCCAGTGTCAGTAACCTGATGTTAAACCTGTGTTTAAAAAAAAGTCAACAATTTTGTCACGCCTATAGCATCATAATAAATTGCAATATATCGTAGTGTTGTCCATGTATCGTGATACATATTGTGTCGATGATTTTTGCCAATACACACCCCTTAACCTTTAGGTCTTTTTCACCCACATTCACTATGTTACAGCTGAGATTCGGCACCAGTTGAATGTAATGAATGGTCACCAAAATATCATCGTCAAAAATCACAGTTGATTGACACATGTGTTAATAATAAAGAATGTAATGACAATGTTTGTCCTAATATATTTAAGTGGGTAAAAAAGTTTTTATCTTATAGTTGTGTTCAGAATTTAATGTAAACTTCAGCTGCTGTTGTTGGTCGACGTGAACATGTAGAGGAGGTAATGACTGTCATTTAGTTCAACCTGAACAGTGGTCTGTATTTTCTTTCTGTGTAACGTGGGGACAGCAGGTCCTGAGCTGAGATACGTCTTCAATACTCTTCTGTAATTGGCAGAACAAATGAATGGATGAAAAAGAAAAACATCCTTGAAATGTTCTTTTAAAATCTTTTGGCTCTGTGATTGGTGGATTGTCAGTTTGAAGAAGGTGACCGGGCTGGAGTCTTGAGTTAATGAAGTGCTGTTTAAATTAAAAGATGATCATCTTGAACGTTTAGCGTAAAGCATCAAGTTTATATATTTCATGCCACTGGTTGATGTTCCTCAGGATTTTTGAACTTTTTTTTTTTAAACATTTTTTGAATCCATTCGACTGCTACAGCTTTTCCTCCTCATCCTCAGCCGTTTCACTTTTATTCTGGACGGGCAGGTTTTCCTTCAGTGAGATATCGTCCACTCTCTTGGGTCCGCTGTCGTCTGGCTCTTCAGGTATAGAAGGGTCTGAGTTGCTGATCACATATCCGGGGAGGGTCGCGTGCAAACTGACCTCAGTGGGGCCTGTGCGCCGATAGGCTCGGCTCGAAACTAGCGTAGTGGAGCGCGTGGACGGCCCCGGTGCCGCCAGGTGGGACTGGCTACTGGTGCTGTTGTTGTTGTTAAGGCCGACCACTACGGAGCCGTATTGATAGCGGCCACACACCACTGGGCCATCCCACTCAAAGTCCAAGTTCCAACGTGTCCATGTTTTCTTTATCTCTGCCTGAACCTGACGGAGTTGAAGAGAAAAAAAAGTAAAAAATCAAACTGTTTAAAAACAATTTAACACAGCTGTAGCCTGCGCTGTGGACGGTTAAAATAATGGGTTTATAAACACAAAAGGTGACGAGGATTCACCTCAGAGAGGGAGCCAGGGTTGTTATTATGTAAACAACTGGATTACACACGGGATTGAACTGGATTCTTTACAAAAATACAATGACAACACACAATGTGAGGCTGTCAGGTGCAGCTCGCTGCAGGGCGCGCTTACTTCCTAATTAGGCAGTTTTCCCTCGCCCCCTGGTGGTTGGCTGACTATTGATTGAAAATATACTTGATTTTATATGCAGCAGAGCTCACTTTTATGTTGTTTGTTTAATGTTTAATATCGCAAACGATCATCTTTATATATTGGTGGCAGACAAAATCGTAATTATGATTTAAAATTCAATTAATGGTGCAGCCCTAATATATATATAAACACTATATAAATATATGTATATAGTATATTTAAAGTATAAAAGCTTTAATACCCAAATGAGAAAATAAGAACAAAGGAGAATTTCTAAAATGTAGTTTTCGGCAGGAGTAGTCAGAGTTAGTTCTTCAGCTCTGAACTTCTCTTTATGATTCGTTTGAAACCATCTGTGTCTTGTTACGCTAATGAGGCAGAATCCACTCACCTCACTGTTGCAGAAGCAGTAGATAATGGACACAAAGAAGCCCTGAGGAAAAAAGGAAGAATTACAAACAAAAAAAAGATTAAATAAAGGGAACAACGCTCTATGGTTCCTAATCGGTGCCATTACTTAGTGCTTTTGTAGTTAATAAAACAATAACAAGAGAACAACCACTGACAGATGGATTGGACATGCATTTTAATGCCACCATTAGACAAAAAAAAAGAAAAAAAAGGACAAATGGTTTACAGAGAAACCAAATATTTATTTATTTAACATATAAAGACTTTGTTTGTTGTCGATATTCAGGACCAAACAATAGTGGAGGCGGTGATTCAGTCCAATCTGTGGTTGTAGAAGTGACATTTATATTAATACGTTTACTTTATTCAAGCTGGAACATGTGCAGATGCTTTTACTACAGTGACTCAGAAGTTAGTCACAGATGAAATGATGCAGGAAGCTTTTAAAAAGCAGGGTAATAATTAGTCCATCTAACGAGTGAAGAGCTCCGTTTAATTTGAGTGCGTGACTCGTGTAATGAGTATGAGTTAGTCTTTGCATTAGACTCTATGGCTCTCCTGCTGGTTGTTGATTGTTTTTTTGTTTTTTTTTTATTTTGATTGATTCCGTTTTAAAATAAATAGCAGTACTTCTCACATTATTTAATATATATATATTTTTTTTTTTTTTAATCGTCTTGTGTGCTGACATCACTAAACGCATCTTCTTCAAAATGTGTTTGTTTTTAAACTGATATTAATGTATTTAAATAAACATGCCCTGCAGTTGGGCTAGGGGAGTGTGCTAACAAGAATCTGGTGTTACGATACGTATCACGATACATGGGCAACGATACTGCAATTGTCAAAAAATCAATAACTGATGGAGGAGGAGATCAGAAGAGGAAATCTCTTCATATATCGGCATATTGACATGTCCTCACATCTGTAAGTTTGTAAAAAATGATTCTCCATTGCTGATTGTGTTCTAATGTCTGAGCTCATCATGCGAAGTCACCTATTACCTGGAATGAGTTGAAGAAGAGCTCACAGTACATGCGGACCTCCCAGCTGGGCCCTTTAAATGTGTGTGGCATCCCAACAAAGACGATGTAGTGGATCCCAAAGACCAGCACCAGAACTAGAGTGGACTTGGCCAGTTTCCTGTGGACAACAAGACATTAAAGTTCAGTTGGTGCAAAGAAAAGTTTGCCTTAAAACTAAATCCCCTTTTTAATCAACCCATAATAAATAGTAGAAACAAGAAAACACCACAGGGTGTAATATTTTTGCAGTGAGGTGACAATCCTGAACCACTGCATTAATTTAAAATACTACTAAAGCAAATCTACAGATTTTTTTTCACTGACTCGTGTTCCTTCTGGTCGGTGTCGGACCCAGAAGTGCAGTAATTGAACAGTGACAATTTAATCACAATGTCATTCTACGCTGCAGTTCTAATTCATTTAAACATTTTACCTTCGACGAGAAGAAAGGAGGGAATTTTAGACTTTTTAATCAGTCAGTGCAAAGACCAATCATTTTTAATATTTACTAAAGAAACAACAAAAAGTCTTTTCTCCAGAGACGGTCGTCTGCTGGCGGCAGGTTTTGTAATTGCCATCACTTGTTGCCTTGACTGTTGGAATCAAATGAAATGTTTTTCTGGCCTTTACTAAAATTTCTTTCACATTACTTTGCATTACCTGCAGTCCTAACTTTCTATTGATATGGATTTCCCCGTCATGAACTAGCAAAGTAATCCCTGGGAGATCAGAACTTTTTCTTCTTCTACTTCTTCTTCCCTAACTAATTTACTTGCACCATGACCCGTATTTCCTTATAATAAAACCATGAGAAGTGATTTCCTTTTCCATCCTTAGATTCATTAATAAAACATTGATGTAACATCAAGGAGAGTGCACCACCTGGACCTGAAAGCCTCCTGGTAGAAAACATGTTTTCTGCATCAAGAAATATTTCCCTTCACTGACTTTAGAAATTGATGTTTTTAGTTTTTTTTTTGTTTATGTTTTCATCAGGATCATGTTGGGAAAATGACGATGAAGAGATTGTTGAGGGGATTATAGCGTTCCATGTGCATGTTAATCAGCGTAACGTGTCTGAGAAATCATTTAACACAATCGTTTAGTAAACTGATTAACTTATCAAAGGAACCGGTTCTCAAGACGCGGTTCTAGTTTTCACTCCCTGGTCACAACACACACCTGTATTGTTGCCTGGTGTCGTATCTCCCTGCGTTGGTCTCCCTGATTTTCGTGGCCAGCACTCTCACAATGTTCACAAACAGGATGAAGTTGAGCTGAAGGAGAACAGAGAACAGGAGCTTAAAAAAACCCTTCAGAATAATAATAATTCAATTCATTTCCAGAGGTGGCCAGTGTCTCCCAGGGTAATGACAGCGGGGTGGATTGGATTATTTTACAGCATTGTTTCCCAAACACTGGGTCGCGACCCTCAGGTGGTCACAAGAATTTTTTGGGGGAGGGTCGTCTCGGGTCTCAGGGTCCCCAGAAAAAAGAAGTTTGGGAAACACTGATTTACAGTCTGTTGTTGAAGTCATGCAGACATACATGATGACACTTGGTGCATGGACTGAAAAGTTTAGGTGTGAGCAATAGTAACTGCGGGCGTCGTACTCTACATCTTTTGGTCACTGCGACACGTTCGTGTGGCTCCATTTACTTCACTAATCCAAATTAATTTCACTTCATTTGCATATCGTGTTCACTGCTTCATTAAGCCTCTTGGATTTGACATGACATTAAAACGTGTGTGTACATATTTAACCACGACATTTGATGTCATTAGCATTTTTTCTTTTTTAACCCTTCGTTTTAGATTACATTGACTGACACATACCCAGTAGTACTCACTGTATCCTGCATTTAGGCCGTCCTTCAAGTACAAGTATCAAAGAGCTCATACAGTTATGACTGTCAACACGGCCAATGTGTTATTTTATGTCAAATTTGTAAAAGTAAATGACAAATCCCCTGAGTCCAACAATATGTCACTGGGTTCAGCGCTCACAGCTGTGCTCTGAAGATGAACTGTAGGAACCTAGAGTCGAACCCATTCCAGCAGCTGGTAAAGACGCTGAGATGCACAGATGAAAGCTCACTTTAACAGCCTCAGCCTTTCAGTTTTGCTTTGATACAACAAGGGATCCTTGAAAACTAGATTACCTGAGCTAATCATCTGTATAAAGCTCCAGGTTCTGCTGTGCTTTACCATCTGAGCCATATTTGTTTTGGTTTTTTTTTTTGTTGACAAAAGATGTTTTGTCTGCAAAAACATCTTTTGTTGATTTTTCAAATAAAACTGTGGACCTTGAACAAATGAGAAACAGCAACGTTTTCTCTGTGAAACTGAACTGAACGGTTTTAGCTGTAACTTGTTTCTTATTCAGAATTATTTATTTTGAACCACTCACCCCAATAGCTGTGAGGATGGGCACCTGGTAGATCCACTTAATGTTTCCAGCGCTCAACTCCCAACATCTGCAGAAACAGACGTGGAAAAGTTAAAGATTAAAGTGATTTCACTGATTATTAAAATGCCAGTGCAATCAGGATTTCATTTCAGGTACTCTATATGTTCAGACATACGTTTTATTGGACTCGTAACCTTTTTGTGCTAATTATCGGTAAATGATGACACTCTCCTCCTACCTTGCGTCTGCCAGCGTTGCCCTGACAATTGCCCATATGGCCACGAAAACAGCAGGTACACCTGAGATTAGACACACAGTCAGTTCACACTGTCACACTGGCCATCCACCAACAGAGGGCAGCAGAGCAGAGGCTGATGCTAAGCATTGTGCAATATGTAATTAATCTGAAAACCATTATTTATTTACCAAAAATACTTTGTCTTTGTTCGTACAGGAGACCGTGATGGGCAGAACAATTGAACTATTTCCCACTAGGTGGCAGCAGAGGGCTGTTCATATATTTTTTAAAAAAGGGCTGTTGAAAGAAGATTTTTGTGTCTTTGTTCAATTCCTGAAAGTATATCAGTGTTGTGTTCAACTAAACAGGCCCCGGTCAGCAACCAGAACATCATTACATTTAATCACCAAAAAAAATAAATAAATAAAATAAAATTGGTAAAACATGTGGCAGCTTTTTAGTATTAACTGGCTATGAACCACATTTGAATTCAATAATTAAATAACCCCGACTGGGCAGCCAGGTGGTCAGGAAAACATCAAACATCAAAGCTGTTTTTCAGTGAGGTCCTGGTTCTCTGAAATCGTTTAAAAAAAACATTAAAAAACATACTGTGAAAAAGAGAGAATAAAGTAAATGTATACATTACATTTACATTCACATTGAGCAGATGCTTTTATCCAACGCGACCTACAATTTGAGGAACAATCAAGCTACAGTGAACATGTCGTAGAGTAAGAAGAAGAAGAAGAAGAAGGTGCACGTCAGACGTTAGTGGGTTTGTGAGGATGGAGGTGTTCTTTGAAGAGAAGAAAAGAAGTGCTTTTTGAAAAAAACGGGGAGGACACATGAAGAGAAGAAAAGAAGTGCTTTTTGAGCAGAGGGAAAAACAGAGGGAGGACACGGGTGCACGTCGTTTAGCAGTGTGTGTGTGTGTGTGTGTGTGTGTTGTTCCATTCTCTGTCTTTGTCGTAACTCCTTTTCTTTGTGTGGTCAAATTGAAAAGTCTTAATGAACATGAACCTGACGTGAACAGACAGTTTGTCTGTTAGGTGAGTCTCAAAAGATGAATCATAATTATCATCGCAGTCACAGTTTCAGAACACAAAGAGCCTTTTGCCCCTGGTTGCCAGGCAGGTGGTGGGGATTTCAGACCGGAGGCAAATGTCAGACTGTGTGATGGAGGCAGTGACAAGAAGTGCTGTGTTATTCTGGCTCAAGTGCTTGTACTGCATGTGTGCTGTGGGTTGGATGTGGAGGCACAAACATCAACACCATTAACGGAAGAAAAGCTTTGAGACTGTGTGTGTGTGCACTGGACAATAACAAATGTTTGAAAGTTTTGGTGGTAAAGTTAGGACGAACACATTTGTTCAAAAACAAAATGTGAGAAAAGTGCAAAAGTTCAATTGGTTGTTTTCCCTGCAGTGGTTTGTCACACAATCCCCAGAATCTGCAAGTTTGATCTACATATTTGTATATTCCTAACTACACATTTCCACCAGGGGGAGTGTAAATGAGTGCGTTCCAAAGTTCAACAGTAGCTACTTACTAACTAGTTGAACAAAACTGTCACGGACTTCTGGGAATCTGTCTTCAACAATCAACAACTTTACAAATAATAGGCTCTGGTCTTTTTAAATGTGAGTCAGTGTATCGGCGCCGCTCACCCCATCCAATTAGTGTGAAGCCCCACAAGTACTTAGAGTTGGACTGGAAGGCCATGAAGATGAGGCTGTGCAGGTAGAGCCCCTCCACCAGGATCCAGTAGTAGTTGGTGGCCAGAAAGTAGATGAAGAGCAGCACGGTCACTTTACAGCCGATCTGAAAACCAAAACATTCACACGTTTGTGAGACTGTGTCTGTCTGTGTGTGTGTCTGTGTGTGTGTGTCGTACAGCTGCTGGTGTGAACGCAGCGTTGGGAGGTTGTCACGGTTGTTAGAGTAAAAAACAACCATCTGTATATTCTGGAGTGAAATGTCCTTCTGAATCTTTCTTCTTCCCATTATCCACTCACACGTCACCCCTGAACCTCACCCACATCCACTCCACCCTGATTGAAACCTTTTCTATTCCCTGCCGTGTGCGCTGAACCTCATCTGAAGAGGGTCGACCTCTGGTACATGATAAGACTTCTACATCCACTTCTACATCCACTTCACTTCCACTTCTGGCCAGAATTTTCTCATATTTCAATGTTTTTTTTTTACAGTCTATTACTGTCACTGTCATCTATTCCGTGCACCAGTCCCTTTCATAATGAGTTTGTCTTTACTAAAAACCCGCCTGTATCTCCGAGCTAACTGTGTCTTGTCTTCTCCACCTTTTTTTAAGGGGCTTCATCAGGAACTCATGCTTTTACCATGGAAACAACAGTTAAGTGAGATTATCAACAGGATGGCCGTCCGTCCTCAGAATGTTGGTTGAACACACAAACCCCCGCCTTCACCACAAGCCCCGGAAACTGACACGTGATTGGCCTAAGAAGGTATCTTATTGTTATTGCAAATTATATACATTTTAACCACTCCAGAGTGACCTTTATGTATTGTTGTGTCAGATAAAAAGAAGGTATCTTATTGTTATTGCAAATGATATACATTTTATGAGTAACCACTTTATAGTGATGTATATGTATCGTTTTATCAGATAAGAAATGATGAAAATCTTTAATCTGATAAATTGTACAGGTGATGTGGGTTCATGCTATAACACTGGTAATCCTGGTTAATCACAGTTAACTAATATTAATCTTAATTATTGGAATACATTATAATACATCAATATTTTCCATGTTTTAATTAATATGGAAAAATGTCAAGAAAATTAAAAAAAAAAGTGAAACTGATATTTTCCAGAGTTGCTGGATTTTAGTTGTAGTTAAGTTGTTTAGTTGTTACTCTTCATCTAATCAGGCAGTTGTTGACCATAACAGTGTCCACCAGTCTCAGCCAGGGATGGTCTGACACAGGCTGGGCCACTGACCAGAGGTTGAAACCTCCACAAAACCCAGGTGTTGAGATGGTATTTTAAGCCTGAAGACTTTAACCAACAGGGTGTTTAAATGACCACATGTGTGTGGACTGGGCCTTAGTTCAGCGATGGACAGACTAAACATATAAACACTTTGATGTAACTAGTTAATTATTCCAGTTACTTTGTAACTCTACAAACTGCATTTGAAATATAAATGTCTACTTACATACTGGGACTTGTCCAGTGATGCGATGCTGACAGTTTTTAAGTTGTCCAACAGTGCAGAGTCAAAGTCCTGCAGTCCAGCACTGGAGTGGACAACTTTGTCCTTAACAAAGATGCTGACGGCTCTCAGCATAAAGGAAACAAACAGGTGGATGTGAATGTAGTTCCTGGTGCAGTGAAGACGCCTGCGAACAGAACAAGAACAAAGAAAATATCTATATAAAACCTCCGCCTTTTATGATTTGATGCAGCGAAAAAAAAACAAATAACAGGTTTTGTTTTTTTCACAAAAAAAACAAATAACAGGAAGTTCAAAAGATTGTTTTTTGGTTTTGTTTTTTTCATTAACATTCAAATGCTGCATATTCACTGTTTCAGGTGTTAGGGTTTCTTCAGCTCATATCACTGGTGATGCCGGAGCATTTTTGTCTCAATATATCGTGTTGCCTATAGTATTGCTGCATATTGCAATATATCGTATTGTGGTACGTATCGTATCGCCAGATGCTCGACAATCGTCCCATCTACAATCACTGAAGGCTCAAGTCCAGCACTTGCAGCATTTTCTCAAAAGTTGCTGTCACGTTACAACACTGGCTGAAAGTCTCCTGTAAATGACATACATTTAAGTTTTGGCGGCGTTGCTGTTGTTGCCGTAGTTACTGCCCACACGGCTGCTGCTAAAAACTGTTCAACAAGGTCACGTCTTTATTTACAAAGTGCAGCTTTTGTCACCTCTGACTGAAGCTGACGGTAAAACGTTTCCATTTTTAATCAGCTCCGATGACTGTGGGCAACATGTCCTGTGAAGATGACGAGTCTGCCTCAAGTGCTGATTGAACATTTTCACATTCATACGTGGCAATAACCTTACGTGAAATAAATATATATTTTGTTCAAGCCAACGGTGATATCATATTTCACATAGAAGCGTGTGTTTAAATATATTATCTTAGTGGCTCCTCGGTATCTTCCGTGACTAATTGAATGGACACGGAATTGTCCACTTTTTCTGTTAGATCACGTTGCTCTGATCCCTGAGGGGACGGTTAAATGCTCTCTGCTCAACCTTCTGCTTCACTCTTGTCTAATGGAGTCCTGAGAGTCTGGCTTATTTTGTGAGAAATGGTCTTCAGAGGAAGAGAGTTCTCTTTTTTTTTCTGGATGAGGTCGTCATCATGGGAAAACTCATTGAACTGAGACACAACATGTTTCATTTAAACTGGAAGGACGGCGGCACAGATGTGGCCGGAACAGATTGAGAAAACCATGAAATTTACATAAATGTGGGGCAACCCTGTGGAGCAGTGGGCTGGCACCATCGCCTTGCAGAAAGAAGATCTTTTCTATTCTCTCTTTTTCCTGTTGTTCCCCAGAACATGCAGGACGATGAAATAATTATTCACTATAAGTGTGAAGTCATTAATGTAAATGTTTGTTACATATATACATATATAAATATATGTTTATATATATACATATATATACATATATATACATATAGATATATATGTATATATATATAAACATATATAAATATATGTATTTATAATTTAAAGCCGTGCAAATACAGTTGACTTGACTTGAACAACAATTCAATTTTTAGGTGAAACAATACAAAGAAATATATTCAAAAATTAAAAAGTGTCTTATCTAATACATTTTTTACATCTGCTCAGCAACGCCCCCTGTTGATGATCTCCTCTCTGAAGCATGTGTTTTAGCCTACCTGAAGTATCCGATGATCATTATGGCCACCAGCAGAGAGCTGAAGGACACGGCGTAGCCGACGGTGTACATGACGTACAGCCGCTCAAAGAAGTCTTGCTGCGAACACAGAGGGAAAATATTCAGGCTTGAACGCAAGAAATCGTCTGATGAAAGATTTTAACGGCTTCTGATTCCGATCACTGCGGTCCTCTGTGTATGTTGTTAGCGTTTGCTGGTGTGTAGCTTAGCATCTGCCCTACAGATGTAATTGGGATTACAGGAGAGGTTGCCCCAATTGCCCGAGGGCAACGTTCCTAAATTAAAGTTATGTGGTGAGACTTGGGAAAATTGAACAGGAGTCTGTAAAGGAGGACGGCAGAATTTTTTGACTGAACCATGTTTGAATAAAGTCAGAATCCAGTGAACACAACAACAACAACAACAACAACAACAACAGTGTGTTGACTCTGCAGCCACGATCACAACAGTGTCTTTCTTGGAATAAGGAGTACGACAGGTTATTATTCTGTTTGCCATTTAAAAACAAACTTGTGTGATTAAAACTTTGTTGCCATGACAACTCAGCCTAAATTAGGCAGTGGGCTCTCATTAGCTATTAATGAGATTGGATTATTTGATTCTTACCCTCTCCTTCTGCTGACGGGGCTGAAGGAAAAGCACACACTCAGAGTAATTGGTCCATGTTTTGTTCCAGTGGTCCATAAACACCCAGGAACCGTTGATGTCACAGTTCCTGTACGCGTGTCCTGGAAACGTATCACTGAGGTTAATGTTGTCACACGTCAAAATGAAAAGAATCAGGTTAAAAATGTAACATGGTTAACACGTTTTAGTTTCATGAAGCACCTGGATCTTAAAATCCCATCATCAACTCCCAGCACGTGTTTGTGGAGGATTCAACCTCAGGTCTGCGGCCCGGCTTGTGTCGGAGCAGTCTACGACCGACAGTCTGACTGACACAACAGTCAGATGGAAGGTTCAGGACTGTAGACTGATTAACGTTGTTGACTGTTCTAGTGTTTTCTTGACATTTATATCCATATTAATAATTCCATAATTTGGATTAGTTACAAATACAACTTTTTAGAAGCTTATTTTTAATTTAGTCTCAGATCATAACATTGACATTTTGTTTTAAAGTATCAAATTAAATTGAGTTTAAAATAGATCTAATTAAGTTCTTAGCATTTACATTAAAAAATAAGTGAAAATGAATTCAAATTTTTGGCTAAAGACTCTGCCAGAGAAACAAAGAATTATTTTTTTTTCACTTGGCTGCTGAAATATTTCTCAAGAGTTAAAGGTTAAAAACAACAATGTGGAGGAAAACCTGTGATGAAATTGAATCACTTTAATAATTAAAATTCATCATCACCTTGTTATCTTTAGCTGAACTTTAACCAAAACCCCGTATTCTGAATAAATGTTTGCTGAAGCGTGTCATCCACTGAACTTTGACGTCCTAAATGTTTTGTTTTGTTGACGATGTCAAATCTTGAAAATGAAAACACAAGCCAAGAAAAGTAATCAGTCGACCTTTGTGATTGAAGTCGTAGATGTACGACGGACAGGGAACCTTGGTGACGAGTCCAGGAGAGCCTTGAGGCCAACAGATAAGACCGTCCCAGTCTGGAGGACACACGTCGTCTACAATAACAAGAAGAAGAAGTCGTCAAACTGATCACACCCTCAGGCACGGAGTAAAGGTAGATACAGATTTTTGTTTATGATAATCCTTCGTTACATGCTAGTTAATGACCTATCGAGCTCCAGGAGTTTATTTTCTTCTTAAGAAGTTTCTCGTGTCAATTTAAAAAAAAAAAAAAAACCCACTGAGGAAATCCAGGTTGTGTGTTCTACCTGTGGCCTCCGGGTCAATGTTGGAGAGGTTGTGGTGACACTGTAGTTTGACTTGGTAAAGAATGTACATCTGCTCCTGTGCAGAGAGAGGCCCATCGATCTCTCTCTGTGAAAAAAATCACAACAAACACAATCACAGCTCCAATCATCTCCCTTCATCACCATCATTTTGGAGTTCTTTGTGTTCTGGGCCGAGCTGTGAACACCAGATGTTTGTCCTGACTCTACAAACAACAGCGGGAATCAAGAATCAAGACAGGAATAAAAAAAAAGTGCTTTTATCTCAGTACTTCCAGGCTCTTCATGTGTATTGGCAATATTATTTTGAAAAAGCGACAGTGAATCATACGGTGCCCATGTGGTCAACATGTATTTTTTACAGAAATATAAACTTTCATCATAGATTGTAGCTAGGGATGTCCAATATTAATGTTTTTGCCGATATTGTCCAAACACTCACAAAGTATTTTCTACCATGCCCCCCCCCAGTGGACAGTAGTTTTTTCAACTTCCCCTGAATTGAAATACTATTGTATTGAGTTGCTGACACCAGCGTTCTGCATGCAATTTTTGCCGATATTGTCCAAACACTCAATTATTTTCTACCATCCCCATGAGCTGCAATGCTGCCATCTAGTGACATTCACTTCCACATACAGCTGTTTTTCCCCAAAAACTATTTTTAGGGCTATTGGGTTTTCATTAACGGAGGAAAACCAGATAACGATTCTTACAGATACTGTGTTACATAGTTATATCGGGCCGATAATATTGGTTATATATCGGCTGATATCATCGGACATCCCTTATTGTAGCAATATATTTTGTTGTAAATATTCGTGTTTAGGAACACAAAATAAAAATCCTATCATATCAGACTGGGGACACGGACACTGGACTCAATCCAGGGAGATACAGGAAGTTCAGGTTCACTTGTTACACAGTGGGGTGGGAAGGGATAAGGTAGAGGTACAACACCAACGAAGAAGAGATGAATTCTAAACCACAGTTAAACAGCTGAAAAAGCATGAGAAGAACACAGGAAACACATTATCTGAGATGCTCCTCGGTGTTTAATACTTTCGTTTCAGTTTTTTAACTCTGTGATTTTACTGAGAGTTTCTTTGTGGAATTTTGGTCCACAAAGAAGAGGAAACGGCAATCGCAGCTCGGGTGTCATCATCTCCTCTTTTGTTTGACCGTATTCATTTGGTGAAATTGGTCTGGTCTTTGGCCCGATTTGCTGTCAGTCATTTGTTCTCAGCATCGCTCGCGTCTTTGTGATAAACGAGGCTCGTTACAGTCACCACTGAGTCACCGGCGTTTATTCAGCGTGATCTGAAGAGAAACTGCGACTGACGGAATCACTGTAAAAACCATCTGTGTCCACAACAAGCCCATCTGTCTGAGCGTCAGCCAGAGCATTTAGGAGTGGAGTCACTGGCTGACATCGCAGCTTTATTGTGCGGGAGAACATGTTGTTCTGTTGATCGCTGAGTCTACACGTTCACAATAACATAACTTCAGGATTTATTTTGATAAATAGTGACTTTTGAGTTTTTGCCTTTTCCACTGGGTTGAGAAAAAACATTATATTTGAAGGTGTTGTTATCGAAATGTCATGTTCCACGGTACTTTTCAAAGGTAGAACGGTGAAGGTCATCTGTCACCCGTCCATCATCCATCCATTTATCAGCCATTATTCCACTCATCCATCCATCTATCCATAGTTGTATCAGAGTCTGAATGACCTTTGACCTGTTGTTTTGAAACCTTGACAGATTATCTTTGAATGGAAAAAGTAAAATAGGCAAGAGTCGATTATTTTTGAATAAAGTTAATTAGTCCCACTGCGGCACCGGTCCCCGAACCAGGGGTTGGGGGGCCCCCTGATCTATAACACAAGCCGGGCCGCTGACCAGAGGTTGAGCCTCCACAGGCACATGCTGGAAGTTGAGATGTTGTTGTTTTTTAAGATCCTTTTAAGGTGATTCATTGAAACAAAAACTTTTTTCCCCACAGTGTGTGTAAATAACAACATGTGTATTTGGCTGTGTCTCACAGCAGCAGAAGTTCAGTATAAACGTCGACCAGTGAATTGAAGCGATTACTAATTATCCTGTTGAATGTCCTGAAACTCTGAATCTCTGTGCCGTGTGGTGACATTTGTTCCCACGTCCTAAATCAGGAGCGACCGTGGCTCAGCACTGGGGTACGTTTGATTCGTCTCCCAGCGTGACGCCTGTGCTGACAGCGTGTGAACAGGTTTAATAATTATGTGATAGAAGGAGGCTCTTTGTTGTCTGAGTCCTCAGAGAATGGAAGAAAATCTGAACCGCAGTGTTGACGGGCTGTGAGCAGTCATTAAGACTAGAAAAGAACTGCAGCCAGTGGTGAAAATGAATCCTCAGCCACCACAACTCTGACTCCGTGGTAGCCTCATATATATGTGTGTGTGTGTGTGTGTATAATATATATATATTATATACTTGAATTATATGATTATGTGCAATAGTTCTACAAATGAGACTTCATCCTAATTTTGATGGCAGTACACACACACACACACACACACAGCTGTTGTGGTTGTGGGCAGTGGTGCTCAACCTGTGGTTCCTGAGCCTGTTGGAGTTGTTTAGCCTTTACGTTTTTCGACTGTGTGATTTCACGTCTTGTTTGTGAATGAAGCAGATGTACAAAAATGTCCATGACTCATTCACCCACTCATCCTGCTACACCAGTAGGCAGCAGTACGTACTGCACTGTACTACAGTACTACAGTACTACAGTATAGGGTAAAACACGTCACTTTTCAAGTACAGATTCCATCCCATTGTAAATTGTTTTAATTGAAATTCTGTCAAATAACTGAAAACTGAAGCTGGAACTTGAAGGCCGCCGTCCAGGGGTCCCCCCGGGGGGTTGCGGACCCCCTGTTGAAGACCTCTGTTCTACCGTGCACTAATTCTGCTGCGGCAGCTCCTGTGAAGTCATGCAGTCAGTGATCATCAGTGAGTCTCAGTACAGTTCCACTGACACTGACACGCCACTAGGTGGGGTTTTCCTGATTAGATTTCTCCCTGAGATGTTTGTGTGATATTATTTTTAGGATTCAGGCACTAATTACAAAAACAGAGTCGAGCTGCTGAGACTGAGCTCCACATGACGGCCACTCATCAGCAGGTCGTTCTGTCTGAGTCTGATCACGAAAACACGCAGAGATTCATTTGATGGAAGTATACATTTATCTATTGATAAGGCAGTGGCAGTTGACCCCACCCCACGACCCCAACACCCTGAACCCCTTCTCTCTCTTTTATTGCCCTGCTGTGGTTGATTGACCACAGTTACCTTGATCCTAGAAACTGGACCTCGGCCGAGTTGAGGCAGTAACTTTATTACATCTACGACCAGTTCAATACAATATATATATATATATTTTTAATTCTAAATAAATTCCATAATACTCCGGCACCTTTAATCCCAGGTTATGTTTTTTTTTTTCGACTCGAATCCAAACGCGTTCAAGTCCTCACCTGTGATTCAGCCGCAGTCCAGCAGAGGAAAAAGTTTAAGAGCAGCATCCGGTCCGCGGCCGCCGAGCGTCTCTTCATGCCTGACACCAACATACGGTCAGTGCCGGGCTGTGCTCCAGGACCGAGAACATTCCAGCGTCACTTCTGCGTCTTCTCCTCCTGTCATGCCTCCTCACGGTCCTCCAGCGGCTCGCGGCAGGGAGGGCGCGCGCGGGCGCGCGCGAAGCGTCACGTTCACGTAGCGGAACCCTCCGTTTGTCAGTGATCCGCTCACCGACGCTGTCACAAGTCAAGACTTTTGAGTTTCTAAAACAGAGACTTTTTTTTTTCTTTTTTTTTTTTTTGGACGAAGCACCGCCTCCTCTGGAGGGTAGCCCACACTGCTGCTGCTGCTGCTGCTGCTGCGGCGCAGGGAGGGCAGCAGCAGCATCTGAGGCAGCAGTACACATGTATTACTGCGAACACAGGCATACTGATAAATATTTGTGCAGTACCAGATGAATATTAAACAGTCATACAAAACTACAGTATTAATATTTAACCGTGTAAATCACGTACACAGAATAGAAGAAATTCATTAATAAAATATAATCTTGGATATATGAGGTCATCAAGTACTACAGTACTCATTACTGTAGCTGTATTATCATAGGGATATTATTGTTGACAAATTGACCTTTTAGTGAATATTACAACGTTTGGTTGCACCAATGAACTACACAATACTATAATGTACTGTAATATACAGTACAAAATGCACTGTACAATATTGTACTGTACTATATTACACTCTACTGTAGTATACTAAACTGTACTTTACTAAAACACACTTCTTTAGGTCACACAAACACACACACTTTACTATACTACAGTATACTATACTGTAGTATAGTATACTGTAGTATACATGGCTAAATCACATCTGGCTAAGACACGTACTACAGAATCATACACAGTAACTGTAAGTACTGTAAGTAGTAAGTACTACGCTCTCCTCCCTCTTACTAATATTCTACTGCAGTGTGTGTATTCCCTGTACTTCCCTGTACTTCCCTGTACTTCCCTGTCTCCATCACCACAGCAGCAGCTGCTGTTTGTTTCCATCACCACAGCAGCAGCAGCCGCCGTCTGTTTTTTTTAAATTTTATCTGTTCATCAAAGTCAGTGACAGAATGAATGAACCATGATGATGAGCGTTTCAGTTCCTCATCAGTTCATGTCCACGTTGATGAGCGTCTGTTTCATTAGTCGACTCCAACCTCCAGCTTCAGTGTGAGTCAAACTCCTCCAACACCTGAACGACAAAACAATACGTAATCCGTTAGTTACCGTTTGACAAGGCCGTTTCCCTCCGAGATCAATTATGTCTGAGTGGGTTTTATAATTTGCGAACGTTTAACGGAGCTGTCAATCAAAAAATTACAAAGAAAAAGAAAAAAAACTTAATTTGCTAATTAAACTAGACTTTCTTCTGTTAGTATCAGAGCCTGACTGACCTTTGACCTGTTGTTTTGAAACACGTCCAGATTATCTTTGAATGAAAACGGTGAAGTGATATGACTGGATTCTTTTTGAATGAAGTAAAATAAAAGTACATTTTTCTTCACTGTGTCCCATTCTGGACCGGTACTAAATGACTTGTGGACAGGCACTGGTCCCCGGACCACGGGTTTGGAGACCCTGCTGTGCTGTATTTCTGTATCTGTCCAAACAACGAGTAGGTCGAGTAGAAGTAGATCTTCAGATGTGTCACCTTTCTGTGGGAGCTGTCCGTGGTGCTGAATCAAATCACATCAAATGAAACAAGCCTATTTTTCTTCCTGCTGTCGTGCTAGTCTTTAAACTCCCTTGTGTCTGAAGCAAACGACGGAGCCAATGACACGGTGGTGATTAGTGCATATTATTGTCCTGCTTTTTAGGAGCTCTTATGTTCTATCATTCCCAGCTCTGAATTTAAAAGCCTGGCAACCAAAAAGCACCAAAGTCTGAGCTAATGCATTTGGTGGAATATTCCAGCTCTTCACTTTGTAAAATCCATGATGGATTCAGATGATGGATGTTGAGATGTTTGGATGTTTGTCATAGAAGGAAAGAAAAACAAACGTCTTTCCTTTAATGTGAATAATTCTAATAATAACAATAATTTCAAAAAAATACAGTTAGAAGGGAGTGAAAAATAGACCACTTTTTTTTTTTTTTACAAAAAGACATTAGTGGAACATGTATGTTGTATTGGGTGAGTCAATTAGTGTCAGGACAGATGTGTCCAGTTTCTATAATTAAATGTTAAATTAAACCAAACCAAATTTATTTAGTTTTTTTTAACCTTAAAAGAAAGATTTGAAACCTGTAGAAGTTATTTAAACTCTGCATTATGTTTTGTGTGACTTCATCTATTTTTTTATTTTAATTTTTAACCTTTCTTTCAGTACCGTACTGAAAGAACTTCGGAAAGAACCTTGATCTTAGACATTCACGACAAAGATGCAGATTTGTTTTAGAATTGAACAAAGACTTGGGTGGAGGAGGAGAAGTTCAAAGAAAAACCTAAAAAAGAAAGAAAAAGAAAAAGATAAACAAGCTTTTCTCTCTCACTGTTGAATGTGACAATAGGAGTTGATTATTGTTTTATTGTGGGGGGAGGTCAGTCTGACAATGCTGGAGCAGCCACCTGAGTGGGTGGGCTGTGTGTATCATGGATGACTGTACAGCAACAGTCTCTCTTCTTCTTCCTCCTAATTTGTCCAGATCAGAACCTGCGTTGGTTCCAGCTGGTTCTACAACGTGTCATCATCGGCTACTGTGTAATTTCCTGAGTGGAAATGTTCTCAGTGTCAAAGGGTCAACTGTAAGAAATCACAGAACTGTTTAATCACAGAAGAGTCATTTATATGGTGATGGCTCTGACATGAAGAAACCACCTTTACTGAAGGTTTTAGGGGAAGAAAAATGTCTCATTGTGTCAATCAATCAATCAATCAATCATCATATATATATATATATATATATATATATATATATAGATATAGATATATATATAGATATAGATATATATAGATATGTACACGCAGCAGTGATTTCATTTCATTTCGTTAGACTGCTCTGCCCCCTCCTGGCTGGATAGAGTTTAACTATAGTTGCTGCTTCAAAGCCTTTAATGTTTAGTCAATGACCAAATTCAATAGAAGTAAAATAAAATAAAAAATAAAAAATTATACTATTATTTAGGTGTGTGATAATTGAAATGATTATTATTTAGTAAATACAACTTACATATAGTATTTATATATAAGAATAAAAAGGTTAATGAAGTGATTAAAGTAAGATATATGTAAATATTATAATTATGTATTTTAAGTTTTAGGTTCTTATCATCAAAGTTGTTTACATGAAATCCCTATTATTATTATTATTATTGTGTGTGTGTGTGGTGGAGAGCAGCAGGTGTGTGAAATTAAACGGATGTGCCGAGAGTGTGAGGTTGGTGGAATTGTTGGGTCACATGAGCTTTTTCACACGCAGTCGCGGAGAGGGGGGGGGGGGGGGGGGGGGGGGGGGGGGGGGGGGGTGCTGAGAAAATACTGACAATTCCCTTTTTTACATTAGCACTTGAACGTCACATTTACCCATGAGATGAGGGGTGGTTCCAAACCCGTCCGTGCGGTCGGTTTGTTTCCTGTACTGTTGTTGCCAAATTACTTGTTCCGTGTGTGTGAATTATTTTTGTTGATTAATCACAACAAATGATTGTTGTTACTTGTTCCGTGTGTGTGAATTATTTTTTTTGATTAATCACAACAAATGATTATTCATGATTAATCGAGACGAACATTCCTGAAAGGCAGAACAATGAAATACTCTTCTGCTAGGTGGCAGCAGATGGCAGCTATGAAAACTGTGAGTGTCTTTCTTCAATTCCTGTCAGTATATCAGCGTTGTCTGCAACTAAACAGGCTGAGATTTTAGTCAATGATGAGGTCATTTAAACTGGAAGAGACTTTTTGTGAGAAATTTATTAGATTTCATTACAGAGACTTTTTGTGAGAAATTTTTGTTTTGTCACTCGACCCTCCGACTGAGTTGATCATTTTTTCTCTAAGTTTAACTTGTTTTTTGATACTTAATCAAAGATCCAGATCCCAGGTCTTCATCCGTCCTGGTCCACCCTGAACCTCCCTTCATGTTTCAGGCTGTTACTGTTGGCCGTGTCCTACTGCCCACGCGGGTCGGGATTAATGAGACAAAATGGAACTTTAAGTGTTTCCACCGTGTCCAGATCGATGAAACCCGACGGCTCTGAAGATTAATGGAGGGTTTTCTTTTATGCTGAACGAGCAGGTTTACTCTCAGACCGTAAAGATCCACGATCACCGGGACTGTAGCGTGTCTCACGGCCCTGGTCAGAGAGCGATTTAGCTGTGATTGAGTGTGGGGTCAGGGTGACCAGTAGGGGCAGGATATGAGGAGATAAATAATCGATAGCTTTACGAGTGATATCCACATCGTCATAAAGTTTATTCATGTTTCTAGTATCAGGGCTACATTGATAAAAAAATAAGATTACAAAATTAAAGTAATACATTTATGAAGATAATGTTGTAATTTCAAGAGAAAAAATCTTAATTTACAACAAAAATTATGATTTTATCCTCTTAAAATTATGACTTGAAGTGTGTGGATTTGGCATCTTTTTACCATCAGTACAAACAAACAAACACACACACAAATGTGAAGTCACATTAATGGTTTTTCTTTATTGAAGTGTAGTCCAACCCTGAGGCTAGAGTTCAAGGCCACAGTTTGTTTGTGCCTGGTCTAGCGCCTCAGTGTGACACAACCAGCAACAACACAACAGACCTGTTCAAAAAAAAAACCACACGACGAGTGATGGACAAAATCCACCTGTTGATTTGATGTCGGTCACGTGGTTTTTCTTTTTCATCCCAGTTTCAGATTATTCACAATTTAAAACAACTGAAAATTCTGTCATTTTTATTAAACTACTGCTTTTTCGATGTGCGCCACCTGGTGTATTAAAACCATGATGACACTATGTGCGCCACCTGGTGTATTAAAACCACGATGACACTCTACTCAGATTATATACTGAAGCTGCTCTTAAGTCTGAGCAGACTAAACAAAAAACAACCTGTCAGTAAACAATGAAACAGAATTAAAACAAAAGTGACTTTTTTCTCGTTTCGTATTTATTCTCTTTGAACTCTACATTTTACGCTAATGTTTTTTTCTTTCACGTTTTTGGTCGACAACATACAGTATTACAAGTCTCTTCACATGATGCTCAACAGGAACCCACTGAGTCCCAACAAAAATATAAAATTCTTTTTTCTTTTCTTTTTTTTTTGTCCAGGTCTGGGACAAGCTGAGGTAACATAGACAGTAATAAATTATTTAGTTGTTTAAAAAACACTATTCAAGAATCATATCAATAATTCTTTTCAATAATACAAAAATGTATCAAACATACATGATGCCATATTTCAAACACGTTACGTTACGTTTTTTTCTCTTCGTGATCCAGAGGTTGTTGCTTCACTGATTCTCGGCCAGAGCTTCCAAACGTTTCAGTCCTCGTCTTTACTCGCTCTCTTTAACAGCAGGAACTCGGTACTGTTTTGCATTCACAGAATATGTCGTTCCACTTCCATGCTGAGTTGTCTGAATTTCTGCTTGGTCTCGACACAACGGAGTTCCTTCCAAATAATTCACTTCCCTCTGACTCTTTGTTACAATTGTCACAGGCGTCAGGCACCAGGGCTGAAACACTAAAGGCCTATTTGCTTTCTTTCTTTCGTTCGTTTGAATTTTTTTTTTTTTTACATTCAAATTGTTTTGTACGTGCCTTTTCTGATTTGGACATGCGAGTAGGAAAGCCAGAAATTTCATTAAAAGTGCAACAAAAAAAAAAATCCCAAACGTATTCCTTCAAGAGACATCGCGGCCAAAACAAAGTAGTCCATGGAATCTTTAGTGCGTTAACAGTACAAGCCATTTCATAGATTATTAACTCTTTCACAGCCACAGACGTGGAGAATCTGTCACTTCGTTCCGTCTTTTTCTTCCACATCTAAACTTCAGCTCTGGAGCTCAGTTATCATGGCTTTAAGCTCTCAGAGCGTCACGTCACGTCACGTCACGTCCTCCATAACTCTGCGTCTGCAGTAAATGCTGCACATGTATTCATACACTGAATGTCTTTTTTTATTTACTTTTTTGTTTTGTTTTTTAACGGGGAACATTGAAGCCGTCGGCCCTGACTTCACCAGGGCAGCGTGGATTAGGTTAAAGTGACGTCACATTCTTTTGGTTAGCGGCCAGTGCAAATGAGCTTCTCAGCCTGTTCTGGCTCGGTATTTTCCGGAGTATTGGTTCGTAGCAGAGCATTAGCTGCGTTTGCCAAAATAATGCAGTTGAGATGACATACTGGTCTGTAGAGCAGGTCGAGTTTCTCCAGAAGAATCTGAGAGCGTAAATATACTAACATGAGTTCAACCAGGTCCTGATCTTATTCCAGTGTCGCTTCGTTAAATTCTTGTCTGCTTTGACCGTCGTTTCTAATCTGAAGTTTTAATCCCACTGTATGGCTTTTACTTTTTGGTCACATTTTTATTCTTTATGGAAATGTTGTTGTCCTCTCAATTTTCACTGGGCGCAGCTTTCAGTTGTCATGAGTGCAGACAGTGCCCTCTTGTGGCTATGGAGCTATGGGGTATATTTTTGATATACAAGTCCCTTCAGAACAGTCACAGGAATGACTTATGGTCTGGAACATACGGTAATTGTCATCATTGTCACCAACGCCACTGGATTATTCAACAGTTCCACTGATAATCAGATTAGGTTTTTTTATCAGCTGTAACACGTTTTTCTACTATAAACCACAAAACATGGAAACACTGACGGAGAACTCTCCCACTGACCTGAATGGAAAACTGCTGTCTGACCTTTGGACCTTCCAGCACTTTTGTTCATACAGTACTTGTGACGGAAGAGACTAAGTAGAACCTAAAGTATCTCTGATATACTGCTGTGTGTATCAATGGGAAAATATCATGTCATTTACTACGGTCTGTAAACAGGGTTACTGTGTGGACACTACTACTACTACTACTGAAGTACTTCACGGTCCGACCCACGTATTTAAACAGGCCGATGCGGCCGGAGCGCTCACTGAACCACCTGCTCCATCTTTTCTTTGACTTCCTCACACCAGCGTCCTTCCACCCTCCCTCTGGTGACCCCTGGAGGTCAAAGTTTCACATGAACCACATGCTAATACTTACACAACTGGCAGTTCACTCAACAACAACAACCTTTTTTTTTTTTTTTTTAACACTGAACCAATCACTGCTGTGGCTTTGTCTCCATCCCCTGTGATCGTGGGGTTGTGGGAGAAGAAAAGAGAAGAAGAGAAGAGGAGCTGACTGATGAAGGTCCACTTCACGGGAGGATCTGATCTGATCCCACTCCTTCATTTTGTTTCCCTTTAATTCACATAAACAGTTCCTGTGTCACGGCGTTCCTGTCGGGAACAGTCCTTCATCTTGTGCCACGTTTGGTAACAAAGTGATGGTGAAGTCACAAGTGTTCAGTTCACTGACACCGTCCTTCTGGGCTTGGATTCAGACAGAAAGAACGAACAGATTAAATCGAGGAAAGAGGCTCTGTGATGTGCTGAGGGGGAAACGGTTCAACGTTCCCGATTCACGTTTCCGTCGTTCCTCAGAATTCCATTCCAGCCTTCCAGCCAAACCCCTCCCCTCCCTCTTGTGCTCCAGTAGCTAACCACTGTTAGGGAGTCGCCTGACATCCAAAGGTGTGTGTAGGTGTGTGAGAGACGGAGAGGACGGGGGAGGTCACAATATGGCACAGTGGAACCTGTGGGAACCCGTGGAACGTTCTGCTCTCCACTTCATCTTCTTTTTCTTCTTCTGGTTCCTCTCAGGAACTTGTTGTCTGTCCAGAAGGAAAAGAAGAGGATTTAAGCCGAGGCTTTTGTAATTTTATTCTTTCTCATGAGTTAGTGTTTGGATGATTCTTTGGAGTAAAACACACCACTTTCTGCAGGCGTGTATACAGTGGTATCAGTATTTGACAAACATGTACTTGTACTTTGTAGCTCTGAACATCTGGTGATGCATTTCTGGCAGAAAAAGTTCTAAGATATTGTCTCATAATATATAGAGAATAATATATTGACCACAAGATGGCAATGTTGTCACATGAAGGTTTCTCTCCTGAGACAGAAAAGCTGTTTCACTCATTCGTCACTTACAGAACTGACACATTTACACCATCAACCTTACACTGAACCACAGTTTCATTTTGTGAATAAAATTGCTAAGACAGCAGTGAAGGACACGGCCGTCTCTACTGCGTCCTTCACTGGAGGACACGAGACAGGAAGTACTTTATGATATTTGAGGATATGCTCCTGTTACGGTTCTGATTCTGGCAGTTCATTTCCACGGTGCAGTTGTTTAACTATGGTTAACGTCGGTGACTGGAGCGTTACCTTATAACTCGAACCAGGTCGTGAAAAGCTTTGTCCACGTTCATGGGCGGATCCTTAGCACTGGTTTCAATATAAGTTATCTGAGGAAGAAACAGTTCAACAAACAGTCAGACAACTCTCTCTAATTTGATCAACATCAGTCATGGTAAAAGTCAACATGGACAGACAGTGGTTAGTGCCCTTGCCTTACAGGTTCTCAAAGTCAGGGGTGGGGCCCATACACGGGGTCGTCCATAATAAGATCAAATAAGTTGAAATAGATTGAATTTCGGGGTCGTCCATAATAAGATCAAATAACAAACGTTAAAATAGATTGAATTCAGGGTTGATTGATTATTTACAACTCGGCTACTCTGGCCTGATAAATATGAACCTCAGGTACCGAACGACTTTTTGAGGAACTGAAAATATAACTAAGCTAATAATAGATGCAGAACCACAGTTTGAACCTCATTCTCTTCACTTCATTGACTTCAGGCTGAATTTTCTGACACTTTTCTGATCAGATTTAAACTCCAGTGCAGTAGGAACAGTATTTGATTTTACTCTCATACTTTTACTCACATTATGTTTTGCTGCCATCTCTTGGCCCTGGTCGGTGGTGACCTTTCTCAGGTGGACCAGGTCAACTTTGTTTGCCACCAGCACCATAGGGAACGCCTCTCTGACAGGAAACAGACGACACACAGAGTAAGGACAGAACCCTCAGTGGCTCCAGAAGAAAACATGGTGGAACATGGTTGTTTTTTTCAGTCCTCTAGACAATGTGTATTTATACTACTTGTGTAGTACACACTTTCAAGTTTTCATCCACCGTCTCTGTCTGCACTAAAACTAGACATTTATCTAACACATTCGGGTCAGTTACTTCCTGTTTTTTTTTTTGTTTGTGAAGTTTAACTTCCTGGTTTGAGCTCTCATCTTTACTGTAGTGACAGCACATTTGAAAAGACAGTGGTTAAATCACAAGAAAATACTGATTTCAAAGAGTAGAACCGGAGTAATACCCAACAGAAATACTCGTACGTGCACAGACCAACCTGTCTTTGACCCGTAGTATGAGTTGATGGAACCGGTCCACGTGTTCAAAGCTGGCCTTGTCTGTGACAGAGAAGACGATGAGGAAGCCGTCCCCTGTCCTCATGTACTGCTCTCTCATGGCACTGAACTCCTCCTGACCTGCAGTGTCCAACACTGGGGAAACAGGGACAAACACCAACCAGTAAACTAAACTGGACTGGTAGTTTACTCGCCCGACACTGACGGTGACTGTCAGTCAGAAGGATGACTTCTGGTAAAACTGGTAAACTGACTAGTACAGAGTTCAGATCTTTATCAGTTACTGTTCAACGCTGACATCTGTTTGGTGAAACAGTAGTGTTGTAGAATATTGATACAAATACCATGACATATTGTGGTATTTCAGTGTGATGATATTAACACCCTTAATAAGTTCTGTTCTGGCTTTCATTTTTTTAACAAACAAATTTTCTAAGCAGGAAGTGAAATAATAATTATCTGATGCCGAGTCATTTCATCCTGAGACATTAAGCCGTAGCCAACTACACATCTCAGAGACGTCAGTTCTCAGACCTGGAGAAGTAAAACATCGGCCCAGTGACCTACTTCTGAACATCGTAACACACACACACACACACACACACCCCCTCCTCTACTCACCATCCAGTATGGCCCACTGTCCGTCTATCTCTGTGTGCTTTAAATAAGAGTCCTCTATGGTGGGGTCGTAGTCTGGCACAAAAATCTTCTGGAAGAACTGGATGGTGAGGGCGCTCTTCCCGACACCTCCATCCCCCACCACCACCAGCTTGTACGTTGGCAGGTTGTCACTTGGCACAGCACTGGTTGCCATGACTACCTGAACCGCCAAAGTAAAGGTGGGAAGTAGGCTAGTAGGTGGCTGATGAGACACACCGTGCTAAAACAGAGAGAGAGAGAGAGAGAGAGAGAGATGTTCAGGTTCTTGGAAGCTGCTTTTTCATCACCATGGAGATGATAAACTGGAGCACGGAGATGGAGAAGGAAGAAGAAAAAAAAAAGAGGAGTCAGGGAAAAACAAAACACAGCACAGTTAAAGTCCATCGAAACAGAACCTGAACTGAACTCTGACCACTTATTATTATTATAATACACACACACACATTCCATCGAAACAGAACCTGAACTGAACTTTGACCACTTATTTATTATTATAATACACACACACACAAATATATAGATGTGTATAAATATACACACACCCATATATATATTATCATATATATGATAAAATTAAAAAACTTCACTTTCTCAGTAGAATCTATATAGTGTTTCATTCGTGTTTCAACTAAAACAAACAAACCACCGGAGTACATAACCTCCAGAGTTTTCACTTATTACCACCAACACACACTCATCTCTCACCCACGCACACATTTCTCCTTCATCCACAAGGAAACAGCTGTCAGCTGGCTCCAGTCCATCCTTTCCTGCAGCACAATTCAGGGAAGGAAGATTTCCTTCCTTTTCAAAAACCAACCAACCAACCAACCAGCAAACCAGACAGCAACAGTCTACCAGGTCCGGCTAAGAAGTTCTAAACCACGGCTCAAATCGTCAGGCAGGAAAATCGTTACGTAACCGCTGTGTTAGCCATGAACTCCACTCAGAAGATGGAGTCGAATGTAGGAAAACAACAAATGAAAGATGCCAGAAATCACACAAGTGACCATACAGTACTGTGTGTGTGTGTGAGTCACACACACACACACACACACACCACTGCTCTCATTCTTTGTGACAAAAATAATCCTCAGACCTTAAACCAGATTCCTTCAGCCGTGGAAACTTTCAGGGAGAAATTTATTACGTGTTCAACCAAAGTCAGTCATTTCTTCAATGCGGCGGCCGACAACATGGCTGCACAGACCGCGCCAGCCAGGGCTACAACGCCTTATTTATAGGATTATGAAAACACTACAGTCAAACTGCTGATGCTCTCCTTTATCGTTTACTGAAATGTCCTGGGTTTAACCCCATCCGCACCAAGGCTGAAATGTCCTGGGTTTAACCCCATCCTCACCAAGGACCCGGAGAACCCGGAGAACTGGATGAAGGGAAAAGATCTGGCAACACTCGTCATTCCTTGAAGAAAAAAAAAAAAAGATGCCTTAATGAAGTGACAAAGACATAATCGAGCAGTGGAGGGAGGGGCTAAAGAGTTTGAGCCAAAACCAGGAAAAGACTCCACTTTAAACAGAGAGTCTTTTTAAAAATGACAAGATTTTTATAAATAAAAATTCCATTTTGACCTGTATTTAAATAAATCGTAAACAAAGTCCAGTGAAGATTAGCTTTGGGGCTTGAAGAGGACCACGGCCTGCATCTTAAGAACCACTGGCCTCAGACTGAGACTAAGAATTAATAATGACTAACTGTTGTTGATTCAGATTGTTTTTTGTTTTTTTAAAAACTCTTCTTCTCCTTTAATAGTTGTAGTTAAAGAGAGCTAGCGCTGGCAGACTGTCAACCTTCCCTCAGTCTTTCCAGTGACATAAAAGTTCTGCTGAGAAGCTGCTGCTTTGGGAAAGGACAGAGACACTTCCTTCTTCACATGGGAACAAAGCAGCAACACGTCTTACAAAACAGGAATAAGGAGGGACACAGAACACACTGTACTGCAGCGCTGATATCAACACTGATTGATTATTCAAAGGAGGTCCAGTGAGTTCACGCCACATTAAACCGTCGAGCCGCGCTCATGTGACGGTGGTTCAACTCCACTACTGTTTGTTTTTTAGTTTCACTTGGTGCTCGTTGTCTGAACTTGGCTTTTTCTGAACTTTAGATAGTTAGGACAGAGACACTTCCTTCTTCACATGGGAACAAAGCAGCAACACGTCTTACAAAACAGGAATAAGGAGGGACACAGAACACACTGTACTGCAGCGCTGATATCAACACTGATTGATTATTCAAAGGAGGTCCAGTGAGTTCACGCCACATTAAACCGTCGAGCCGCGCTCATGTGACGGTGGTTCAACTCCACTACTGTTTGTTTTTTAGTTTCACTTGGTGCTCGTTGTCTGAACTTGGCTTTTTCTGAACTTTAGCTAGTTTAGCAATTTTCTAGTAATAATACTAGACCCCATCTACGAAAGACGGGCCTTTTGTCCAAGCTAAGGGGCGAGGGGAGTTTTGATGCCCAACCATAACCGACCACGGTCCTGTCAGGGCCAGGATGTGAACGGGCAGACCAAAACCATGACCCTTTTGGGGGGGGGGGGCACAGTGGTGGGGTTCACACCTGCCATGCTGAAGGTTATGGGTTTGTGAACCAGCTATTTCCGAATCCCAGGTTGAGTCGCATCAGAAGGGTTCACATACTTTGTCCAATCGCTGTGGAGAACTTTTTCAAACTTCAGGACGTACTAATAAGACAGAAGGTTCTCCCTGGTCGTTCAGATAGAACCAGCTCAAGACCATGTAAATCAAAAACTGGACAAACACTTCACCAAAACACACCATCAACTGTTGAAGGAAGTGAACATTAGTAGATAAACGACTTTATCTACAGCCATTTAATGACCACAGGAAGTAGAGGAGGCAGAGTTTGACATTTAAATGCAGCTACAACAGGATGATCACTGTGGATCTGTAGACGCACTCAGATTATCTGTTGATTTCATTTTCACTGCTGTTAATACTGACTGTCGCTGCTGTGAGTTTCTGGTGTGTCTGTACCTGTGGGGACAATGTTTGATGTTCAAGATTTAGTTTGAAGACACATTAAGATAAAAAAATTCAGATTTTGGCTGCAGTCTATTTTTTTGTGAGGTTGTTCACCAACAGAACATGACAATTTTATAGTAAATAAACAATTTTATTTGAGCCACTTCTGTGACCAGTGTGAACAGAGTTAATGTTAGTCGGCCGTTAACTACAGAAGATGAATTAGTAGATTATAAAAGTCACTGAGAAATACAAAAAAAAAACACCTAAACAACTGTATTTGCATAGTATATGATGTTTTAAGTACTGTAGTATTACTACAGATTTATAGAGTTGTACCTGTAGTACACAGGAGTATTCATCACTACAGGAATATACAGCAGCCTGATGTCAACCTGTAACTTCTACACCTGATCTTTTTTTACTGATGTCAAGAAAGATTAAGGTTTGATATGAGGTTGTATTCACCTTGATTTATGTAGAAAAATAAAAAATATAACATCTATCTACTACCTACTAGTGGTCGGATGTATACATTGTGTTTTTTTTGTTGTTGTTTTTTTAATGACATTCAGGCCTAATGTGGTCCATTTCAGAGTAGCTAAAGAGCCACGTGTGGCTCTGGAGCCACAGGTTGTAGACCCCGAGGTCAGAGAGTATGGAGTGAGGAGACGGTTTCATCAGATCCTCAGAAAACTCAGAGAGTATGGAGTGAGGAGACGGTTCATCAGATCCTCAGAAAACTGTGTGTGTGAGAGAGAGAGAGGGTGTGTGTGTGTGTGTGTGTGTCGGGTGCTTCTCAATGATCTCATCCTATGATTTGATACATAAAGAATCTCTCTGTTCTCTCTGCTCCAGCTGTTTCATCTGAGCACCATCTCTGGACTCAGGCGTTTGGGTTTGAACGGCGGGCAAATACAGTCGTGGTGGAGGGGGAAAAATATATGAAAACATGTCAATATAAATATATTTATGTATGTGTGTGAGCACAGTAGTGGGAATAGCTTTCTTTCCTAAAAGACCAGAACAGTAGAACGGTGTGTTTTTCGCCTGGTCCCGACGGAAAATGTTAAACCCACAGAGGAAGGCCCGTGTGTGGAGAAAAAAAAACCCGACAGTAGCCGCCCCTGAATAACGGATTCTTCAACGGGCTTCATTTCCCTCCCTTTAAAGTTAGAAGCAACAAAACGAAAGAAAAAAAAATTAAAAATGTCCAAATCGCTCGTTCCTCCTCTGTCGACTGTCATGAATCGCGTCATTTACGCTCAGCTAACGGTCCCTGACGTTGCCCTGCATTTTGAATAACAGTAAAAAAATACATAGTTAGCCGGCGATGAACAGTCAGTTGTAGTTTCACCGTTGACATCCACCGTTAACCGTAGCCGTTAGCGGACACAGACACGGACGGTGACCCGTCCTCGGCTCCTCCACACGGCGGCTGTCGTACTCACCAACGCGAGGCGCGCGGCCGAGGACACCAGAACCAGAAGCCCGTCTTCACGCTGACATGTCCCGCCTCACCCCCGTCTCCGTCGGCGTCAAGGCACCGCCGCCCTTTTGCAGCAGATGGGAGTGTGCTCCCAACATCTGCCAAACAATACGCCGAGCAGCAAATCTTTGTATTGCAACAGCTGATACTATTAATAGAAACGCCCCGGAGGGGAGGACCCGCCTGTGTTCACACCGAGAAAACCACAAAATCCCGGTGTTAGCCACGGCGTGAAAACAGTACGTTAGCGTAAAGACACAGTAAACGCTTCGAGTGTCTTTAAAAATATGAATCTTTATTTTTTTATTTTAACATTTGCGGAGACGTAAAACGCACCCCCCCCCCATTTAGCTCAATGGACTGATCCCTGATGTAGCGGACTTCTTTAAAGGAATAGTCCTGTCAAATGAGTCGTTCCTCATTTGAGGGGGGTTAACATGAGTTGTAATGTTTGAAAGACGGTTTGTCTGTCTGTGTGCCGAGTTTGTTCTCTGTTAGTTACAAATAATCTTTATTGTTTTTTTCTTTTACTCGTAATTATAGCTTTTTATTCTTCGACAACAATAATTACCATAAACCACGAATTTAAACCTAGGAAATTGACATTATAATTCGAATTAAATATTAACAAAAGTGTGTTCATATATATTTATATATATATATATTTGATTGCATTAAATCACACCGTTCTCATCCCCATATTTTTTTAGCAGACTGCTAACGCTGGTGTACACTCTCCAGGCCGAGAGGTGGCAGTAGAGTAGTTCATTCACCGGCTGCAAAGAAGATGCATTTAAACGATGAATATAAATAATTAATCAATGGTGATTAATTATTTTGTATCACCCTGTATGACCCCTTTGTTAACGTTACTAAGATAAAAACAAACAAATTAAAAGCATCACATTCATTTCGTTTGGCGTCTTTTGCCCGATGGTGCCGTCCGTGTTCAGTTACGATGCCACAGACAAATGTCATCAGTTTGCTTCCCAGCAGATGATGGGAGGAAGATGTACTCACTCACTGTACGTGAGTCTAAAATCAACCTGGTTGTTTTTTAGACTCAAACACACATTCATCACCAGTTGATTGTCAGTCTTTTATTCATCCTAAGTTTCTACATGGCAACTGTCTTTCTTGCTTAAAGTCACACTCTGGTTAGGATCTTACCTATTAGAACAAAAAGAGAGAGAGACCTCAAGTTCCTGTGTGTATTCTTGTGGTGACATTTTGCAGATCAAAGACATACTTACCTATAAATAATTAAACGTAACCTCTGAGTTGCAATTCAAATTAATGTGATGTAAGAACAGTTTCTGCAGCGACCTCCTTTTCTACATAATGATTGGACTATTATTGACACATTCATGCTGACTGCTATTACCATAAAAATGACATTTTTATGTGTGTTTCCCAACGGTGGGTTCCCCTCCTCAGGAACCACTGTTTTAGGATTGAATGTTATTCGAGAGTTCAGATCAAGGTAATGTTTGAAATATTGCTATTTTTTAAATACATTTTGTGTGTTGTTGTTGTTTGTAACAGTGATCTGTTTATCTCTGTGCACCGACAACCGAACCAGAGGGAAAAAAGGAAGCCCATCAGGTGGAGTCAGTCAGTGGCAGAAATGTTCTGTTTTTCTCAGAAACACTCATCAAAGCACCACAAGCTTCCTCAGCGTGACAAAGGCTTTTATTGATGCAGGCTTCAGACGACTTGCAGGGAGCAATGGAGAGGTGATGAACTGATTGACTGGGTCACTGATTTATTTATTCATGGAGAGGTCACTCAATTGGATTGGACAACCTAATGATTGGATCTTAATTTCAGAATCGATTTCTCCCTGCCTTCTTAATTATCCTAATTCTTTCCCCCCGATGCAGCAGGTGACAAGGTGAGACGGTGTCAACCGGGGGAGCACACACCTTTACGGGAAGCCAAGCAGTTACGTGCAGCGGCATTTGAAACATCAACAACTTGAGTATTTGTTCAGTCTTTTATATAATTCCTAGAAACTTGAAACTCACACCCCGTGTGAAGGACCCTTAAGGATGAATGAGGAGTGTACATGTAGGTCAGTATGTATGAGCTAGAATGTAATGCAGGAGCACATCCAGGAGTCACCATAAAGGAAAAAAAACAGGAATTTGTTGCACTTAAATGTGCAGCAAATTTGCGTGAGAGCTGGAATTACCTGGAGACCACCTGACTTCCAAGGAATCGTTATTGATTTTAACGCAATCTATTTACGCATGATCAAAAATGCTACACTGTAAGATAATCTGTGTTTAAATTGATTTTTTTTCTTCCCCTGCAGCCATGAGAATGAGGTTTCTTCCAGAAGGAGTCAGAGGACGCTTACGATCCGTCGCTGAACTGACACAGCTCTGTGTAGTGCCAGTTCTGTCGGCGCTACATGAATGTCATTAACATTAAAAGCCAGAGTGTTCATTGTGTACCTGTGCTATCGAAGCTGGTTCGTTCTAGATCAATGAATAGACAAATGCTTTTATCGTTGAACATACGATGGAACTGAACTTTAAAAAGAACTACACACTCACATTCTGACTACACTAAAACGGAACGGAACAAAACAAAACATAATTTTCTTTCCTTATAAACCCATGCACACAAGCAGATGCACTTCCTTTGGCTCTTGCTTGTTTCCATGGCGACTGCAGTAAGCTGTTTCTTCGCACTGTGATCAGACCATCTGACATGAACATGAGGCATATGCACATAGACTTGCACTGTCAAGTGCCACGATTGTCAGTTCACACAGTAGTCATTTCAGTTGCTGAATGAACCAGTTTATTACAGAGAGGCTTCATTCACAAAGGTACTATGGCTGAAGGAAATGTTCAGTGATAAGTCAAATTCAGTTTAAAATTAAAATAAATATATATATATATTTATAAATAGACATGGATACATTAGTGTTTGTTATTCTTTGTTTTCATTTTTTTACGGTACGTATTTTTTTAAAATTTGGAATGTTTTTCTGTTATAGCACGTATTCAAAAGCTGAATTTAATCATTGTTTCCACTGACGCGTATTTATGTGATCATTTTTGCAGTTGTTTCAAATGCAGAGTTTTATTAATTTGTTTACTTGCGTGCGGTAAAATTAACGTATTCTCCTAAAATCGCTTGATTATTTGCTGCAATCTGTAAATTTTTTACCGTTTTTATGAAAATGGTTTTACTTCCGCTCTAACCCGGAAGTTAACGATGGCCATGTTTTGGCTAAGCTAAAATTGCCCTTGTAAAGACTGAGCAAAACGTGAGTGTACACAATGTTTATTCTGGTTATAAGGGCGTGTAATATTTTATTTAAAAATATTGATATTATTATTAATATTAAGATTTACCGAAGAAAATGTATTGTATTTCTTACACGTATCGCCGTCCAATGATAGTGCAGTTATAAATGATTTACCAAGCCTTAAACAGTGAAAGTTGCTCCATTCATGTCATTAGATTTCCCTCTGGTTGCTGTTTGTTCTGCCACCAACACGTTACACTCCACAACATCTGCACATGTGTCTGTGTGTGTCCTGGTCAACTGATCACGTCCACTGCACGATATGGACCATGAATCTGACCAACTTTAAGAGCCTTAAATAAAACAGCAGGCTGTTTCTTCATCATGTGTTCAAATCCCAACCTGAGAGTGTGTTTTCATCTCTTTGTTTTGTTTTTGTTTTTTTACAGATGCTAACTGCCAAAGTCTGCTCCGTATAACTGGGGAGAAGTGGAGGACAGACATGGGGTCAGGACTCCTCAAGCTGTTTGCATTTCTTCAGAAACACCGCACCCCCCTGATCATAACAAGCTGTGGCGGTGTGTTCGCAGCCAATATGGTGTATCATGTTTTTCCTGAACATTCCCACCGACGGCTGTACCAAGCCTGGTATAAAGGAGAGCAAGTCCCGCTGTCTGAAAAACTACAGGCACTTTTCCAGCAGGTACTTGGTCTGTTTTAGTATTCTATGTTGAATAATAAATTATATTTCTTTAGCATAGTTGGATTCACATATTTTATTTACAAGAATTGTCATTGAAGTCATTACAGCATTATTCAACTGTAAACAAACAATCTTTTTGCCGCCTGTAGGTGCTGAAGGATTACGGTGTCGGCTCGCCCCAGAACTTCTCTGCCTTTGCCTCCTTTGGGTTCCATCCGGTTGCTGCAGGTGTGCCTTGGTTTCCTGCTGGAGCCCTGATTGGAATCCCAGCAAATTTTAACAGCACCGCCGATGACCCGGGTGGAATCACCAACCGCAGTATATTTATTAATGGAGAAACGGTGGACTGGACTAGCGAGGCGGGCTCTGCCCTGAAAGACTCACTGTTGTTCTCTGAGGACTCACAGAAATTCGCCATCGCCCGAGATGTGGCTCGTTTGCAGTGTGGAGGACCAGTGTTAAACGCCGCCGTGGCCCCACTCTGCCTGGGTGGAGTCTGGATTTACAGCGCCATGCTGAAGCAGATGTTTGGACTCCACGGTGGACCTTTAATTCTCCGTGGCGCTGCGAACGGTTTGTCGCTCTGCCTGGGTTCGGCGTCGTACATAATCTCCATGGAAGCTGTTAGCAACTGGATAGACCGTGTATCAGACAGGCGTGCGGCACAAGTGTCACAGGGTTATGCCAAAGGAGGGTTAGAGTTTTACGATAAGATTCTGTCCAGAAACAAGACGCTGCGTTCCTTAATGGGCGAGAAGGGGAAGGAGGTGTACGCCCCCAGTGGGAACCTGTTTCCTGGTTACGTCTTTCAGTTCAGACACACACCTTACACGTCCAGGAGGAAAGGGATTCTTGACCTGCTGAATGAGGAGAAATCTTGAAAAGCAGGAGGACAGCTGTGCTCAGAAATATAACAAGTTTGAGTGTCACCCATAAGATGAACTATGACTGATGACAGAGGAAAAGAAGAGTGTTGTATGCAAAAAAAGTAGGACAACGATTGTCACTGAATGCTTTAATGAATCCAAAATAATTATGTTTAGCAGCCAATAATGTGAATATGATTGTGAATTGAATAAAATACTGATCTCATTTACGAATTCATCATTTCCTGCCTGGAGCAGCCATGTTCCCGCAGGCTCTTCATAACAAGGCTCAGAAATGCTGGTTTAATTACCTTTATTAATTCTCCACCCAGTGGATTAATCTAAATATAAAAGCCTGTAATTAATTATTCTTTAATAAGACATGCATTGACAATTATTACATCATTGTCCTCAGAGGCAGCTGTTTCACAGAGTTCAAATCTACCCTGTTCACGCAAGGTTACTTTTTCTTTAATTTCTTTTTTTTTACCAGAGAATAGATTCTCTACATTTACAGTGCAGAATCAGATGACTGCTGGTTTGAATCCCCTCCCTGGGAGGACAGTAGTGTGTAAAGCAATCACCCACTCCCTTGGTGCATTTCCAAAGTGCAGCCCACTGCCCCTGTGTGTCTTCACAGATGGTTTAGGGGTGTGAATTCACTTTTGGGGATTAACAGAGTACTGAAAGTAAAAAAAAAAATAGAAGTTGCATATTCTGATCAATTATAAATCAAATGCATTTAACAGAACCCAGCGGGACAGCGAGCAAGTCAGAAAATCTCTTCTGTGTTTGTGCCCTTGAGAAAAATGCTGATTTAGTTTAAAACCAGTGCTGATGCAGCAAATTTAAGATGTCAACATCCTGCCGCCCTCAATGAGAAATGATTTTTTTTTTAACCTAGAGTGCCCTAGTCATAAAGGTCGAACAAAAACTGTTTATTCTGTGAATAAAGACAACAAAACCTTTTGGAAAGACAAACAGAAACACTCAACAGTTTATCTGACAACAGAGTGGGCTTTCATAAAAGTGTATCACCAACACTGAGCTCGTTGTCTCTGCTTCATTTGCTCACTTCATTGTTTTCACCACACTGATGGGTGTACAATGACCCATTTGTGCGCCACTGGCGGTTAGTTCCTTTTGTAGCCACTCGGGGGCAGTATAGCCCACATCACCATTCACAATTTGGCTTTCATTTACTGTTGTGTATGAATGATGGAGATACATGTGCGTTCAAGCTAAATGGACGAAATCGGAGTGTAATGTGTTCATTCATGTGATAAATACGAAGGAGTTTGTAGTTTTGGTCCCGTTTTCGGAACAAGAACTCGTCCTGTCAGAACTGGTAGCACTCATGGGTAATTATAGCTTTAGTTTAAACTTGAGCTTCAGATATTTAAAAGTTTTAATTTCCAGATTATTATAAGTTTTCTTGTTTCTTAAAGATTCATCTGTACATGATCTGATAAAACTGAAAGGTCGTGTTCTTTTCTCAGACTCCTCTCTAAAAATCAGAAAGATATAAAATGGGTGACTCCAATATTCTGTAGAAATACTACTTGTACTACTTGGTTAACTTTTGATTTTGACCATTTTATTTAATCTCAATGTATGTGTGGACAGTAGTTTACTTTACTCTTATTCCTAGAATACCACTAGAGGGAACCCAATTGCCACCAGTGGTATGCGTACCATAGTTTGAGAACCACTGTAGTAGTATTATTATAATACGAGCAAACTAAAGTATCGGACTTACATAAGATTTTTTTTTTTTGAATATACAATTTCGCCATATAGGAAGTACACAGTATCACTGTGTCGTTCTGTCCTTAAAACGACATTTATGTGGGATGTGGGATTCTTTTTTTTACCAGGGTGCGTTTGAAAACAAATAGCGCGCCTCCCGTTCCGTGGCCCCGCCCCCGAGCGCTCGGCTGCGCCATTACGTCGCAGCACTGATCATTGCCGTGGTGCAGGCAGCCAGGCAGGCGAAGCAGCTGCACCGAGAGCAGAGCAGAGCTGACAACAACAGGCAGAGCTTCTTGTGGGAAAGTCACACACGCAACGTTTGCTATTTGGCTGATTTTAGGTCCAATCTAAAGTGCTAGCGTTTTATTTTGATTGCAGTCCACTGTTTTTTGTCGCACGCTTGGGATTATTTTTTCACATTCGTTCGTCCTGAAATGACTGATGGTCGCCTGGTTTAGCCAATGCTTACTGCGGGGGCTCCTGTTTTGTGGATTATCTGTCGTCGCCGAGCCCGTCGCATGGTCGAGCCCGAAGGAGGCCCCGCTCTGCTGGATGGATGTGTGTGAAGCAGCGCCGGAGTCCCAGTACTGATGAAGACGGTGATAGTGATGATGCTCTGGTTTCGTCGGCAGTGGCTGAACTAATCTTGTATGTTCGGGCTAAATTGCCCCAACTCCAACCATTTCCTCACCCAGCAAACATTCTATTGCTTAAAAACTGGACGCCCCTGGAGCAGTTTATGACGGTAAGAGACGCAGCCGTCCACAGGCCACCAGCTCTCACAGCCGACTGACGTTAGCTCGCTCAGCTTAGCCTCTATCGCTGTCACTTCGAACCAAGTTGCTGGCGCACAGCTAGGCGAGCTAACATTGCGAAACAGGATTGGAATAGTGCTAGTGTATCTATGGGCTGCGGTGAAATTACCCATGTGTCTTTTCGAGTGCACCCGTCACAAACACGAACACGCACCGAAAAGAAAAAAAACAACAACAACATTCAAACCCTAAACCTTAAAACCCGGGGTTTTGTGTGGTTACCATGTAAGCTAGCTGTTTCCTAAGCCCATTCAGTATCTCGCAGCTCCCGCACATTGGCAGCTACAGTGTGCGCAGTATTCGTGGAAATTTCTTAAAGGTTTATTATTAAATCAGTAAAACTTCCTGTAGTGGACACATGTAATTCAATTAACTATGCCGTCAAGGGCTCATTCATTCTTCAGAGCACAATAAGCCCCTTTAATGAGCAGGCTAACGTCCATAGGAACCAGTGGAGCATCGTTTGTGTTGAGACTGTGGCTTTAAATATGACGTAGCTTTTATCATATGCAAAAGCTTTAAAAAAAAAAGAGAGAATAATAATATTAATAAACTGTAAACAGTATTTTACTTCTACTATATCTGTATTATAGTTTCAGAGTTTCGTATAAAAAGGTATATGAATAAAATGTTATTAATTTATTAATTTTTAACATTTTATACACCTTAAGTCAAACATTTTAGTTTATATGAATAAAATGTTATTAATTTATTACAATACAGCACATTTTTACACCTTAAGTCAAACATTTTAGTTGTTTGTTTTTTTACTTGAGCACTGAGCAAACAGAAAACTAAGAGCCTGAATAATAATATATTCCAAACAGTCATATTATACCTAATACAATATTATAGTATAACAGAAGTAGCTGTTATATTATAATGACAAAAGGTGCCGTTTAAAATGACTTTACTGGTGTTTTTATGTGTGTATGCTGAGCTTGGAGTAAGTGTATTTTCTAATTGAAGTAGTTGCAGTACTTCTCCGTAGAAACCACCAGGTCAGATCGTGACATTTACACAACATCAATGCACCGTTTTAACAAGCTGAAGACCATGTATTGGTTTGACTGTGTCAGAATGCAGTGGCTTGTTGTTCTACATGCTGTGGTTCTGGTGTGGTGTATGATACTAGAACCACAGCATACTGTATATCTGTAGGAGACGTTACTCAAACTTACGTAATGTGCCTTTAACATTTAACACAATAACACTGTTTCTCTCTCCCAGAATGCTCTATGTTCACAATAAGATAATACCTAATGGTGTCTATTTAAAATAATACAAATGTTTTTACCCATTGTTCATTTGTGAATGCCCTCTTTTTTTAAATGCAGCTTTTCATTCAAAGGTTCTAATGTACACTGTGTGTCACATTCTGGAAGCGTCACAGCGGCGGGCCTGTGCCTGCGTGGATAAGCTGCTTACTGCCCCTCGGTACCCATAATAAATAGTTCATTGTTTTTTTTCTCTCTGGTAAAGACAACGACAGGAGCGAGTGTGCGGTGGAACAGCAGCTGTTAACTGTGCGGTGCTCAGTAATGGATGTGATGGCTGTGCTGTGATGAGGCATCCTCATTTTTTTATTTTTTTCTCTTCCTCTCGATGACGTAATCCTCCACCATCCGTACCACATCTTTTGGGTCGCAGTCAGTTTCTGCGCTGCCTGCTGTTTGCCAGTCTGCTGCTGCTGCTGCTGCTGCTGCTCATGTCATATGGACACTGCTTTGTTCTGTTGATTTGGCCTGTGTGTCTCTGCCTCTGCTGGTTGTTTTTGTTCTTATTCACTACAGCCATTTAAAAACATAAGGATCCAGTGGCAGTGGTGTCCAGGGTTTGAGTGTGAGTCACATCCCAGAGCAGGGCATTGTAGAAATCGAACATTGATGGCCTCACTTTAAGGAGCTACAAAACAACTGAACCTCTCACTTTAAGGAGCTACAAAACAACTGCCCCCACTTTTGAAGGAAAAAAAACATACGCCAAATACGGACATTATCATTGTAATAATAATTATTATTTAAGATACTTTGAAGGAAAAACATACGCCAAATACGCACATTATCATTGTAATTAATATAATTATTTAAGATACTTTGTTGTAAAGATAAACCAACATTTTCCGTCCATTGTTCAACCATCAACGATCCATTAAAGTTGAACTTTTCTTGCAGTAGTTTCTCTCTGTCCGTCGATCAAATCCATCTAATAATGTTCCTCTAACCTCATTAGCTCGTTCAGACGTTATCCCACACCCCGTCGTCTCTTTCCTCGTTTCACTCCTCCCTTTAACCACTCTCACGCCCCGCAGGTGAGGCGAGCCTCTACCTTTGAAACCCCCTCCCCTGGAGGCAGCAGACGACGGAGCTCAGCTCAGATCCTGTAGCTGAGTTTACTAGAAAAAAAAAGTCTGGAGTCTTCAGAAGTGTGTGCTGGGACCCCTGGGGGTCCGTGAAGTGGAAAGAATCTCAGCCCACTGGCATAGTCTGTACATCCTGTGTAACTTCACTGGGTTTTCATAGAATAGGATACACCCCCCACCCCCCCCCCCCCCCACTCCCTCCCTGAATGACTCTGACCCTGTGTTTGTGACCTCGTTCACCTACAGGGGGAAGTACACAGTTTTGCTCCATTATTACCTTTTTTTTTCACCATTGAGCATA